ACAAACAGCCCAGCTGACTTTGGGGGGACACCCTGCCTCTGCCAGGTGCATGGGGCTGGGGGCAGGTAGAGGGTTCTGATCAGGTGGCCCCAGGCAGTGGCTAGCGCTGGGGGTGTGTGCCTGCTCAGCCACCACTCCTGCTGGGCTCAGCTGGGGGTGGCAGGATGAGGCCTTGGGCCCTGGGTATCCATCACACACTTCAGCCCTCCAGACCCGAGGCTACAGGGCCCCACAGCCCCCTGGGAGAGCTGTCCCCACCCACAGCCCATGGGACTGGAGAGGCCCAAGTCATGGGTAGGAGGGAGCTGTCTGTGAACACAGCCCTGGGTCTGGGGCCATTCTGGCCCAGAGCCCTGAGGTCGGAGCTGACCCTTGGCTCCCTGACCCAGGCCTGAAGTCCCTTCCTCTTGGCTCCTCTGGGAGCCCTTGGACCACTGGCTGCTTGGACACCAGCTCCCAGACGCAGAGAAAGCCGGTAGAAGGCGTCCGTCCCCACCCTGCCCCCCTCCTTGGCTGAAACACCTCTTCACCAAAAACTTTCCCCTTTATTAATCACCTCACATTTCTATGATACAACCAGGAAGGTGGGTCAGGAACCGAGCTGAGTGAAAGCAAGCGAGCGGGAGCTCTTGAGCCACATTATTCAAAAGAGCATGGCAGCCACAATGGAGATGGCAGCGCGATGCAGGGTCGGGCTGAGGCGAGGCCTTGGGCGAGCCCTTCACCAGTATACCTCACATCCCGGCATCTTAGCCTTGGTGGGGCCTGGAGCCCCCAGCTCCAGGTAATCCTGCCTCTAGGTCCTCGGGAGCTTGGGGATTGGCGTATAGACCCCAGGTGTGCAGATGGTAGGGACTGGCCAGAGCTGAGCTGGAGAAAAAAGGTCCTCCCAGTCTCCCAGCCTGAGGGACGCTCAGCGGGTTCCTTCCCCGGGGGAGGCCTCGGTGGCCTCGCTGGGCGCCTGGCCTATGTCCTGCTCAGCCTCTGAACTCAGCCCAGACTTGGCCCTGCAGGCACTGGGGATGAGCCGCCACAGGCACGTGGCTCCGGCCTGCAGGCCCTGCTGGGGGTGCTGTCCCTGGTCCAGTCAGACCTGCAGGCCCTGCTGGGGGTGCTGTCCCTGGTCCAGTCAGACCTGCAGGCCCTGCTGGGGGTGCTGTCCCTGGTTCAGTCAGACCTGCAGGCCCTGCTGGGGGTGCTGTCCCTGGTCCAGTCAGACCTGCAGGGCCCGGGGGAGAAGGAGCAAAGGAGGGGAGCCCTGGTGGGTGGCCCACCCCAAGGTGGCTTGGCTGTGGCATTGGCAGGCCTGAGCAGGGGAGGCTCAGAGCTTGGCCCGGGGGTGGCTCTGCAGCAGAGCACGCATGTCCAGGAGTGCGTTCTCCAGGTAGTGCGCCAGGCGGACAGCGTTGGTCTCAGCACAGCTGTTGTAGGCCGACACGGAGAAGTTGATGTGGGCCTCCATGGGGTTATAGCAGACACCATAGCCGTCTGGGACCACGGGCCCAAAGAACATGACACAGTCTGTCTTGGCAGGGACCTGGGGACAGCACAGGACCAAGGCTCTCATCTTTACCCCGCCGGCTACCCCCAGCCCCACGGTAGCTCTGCTCCAACTGTGCTCTGCCTCAGGTGCCCCGTTCTCTTCTCCAGCAACCTGGTTACTCGCGCTCATCCTTTAGGGGCAGTTCTGGTGTCATCCCTCTGCGGAGCCTTCCTTGACCTTCCTGCAGGGGGCTTCAACTGCTCCCTCCCTGGGACTCCCTGGACCCCCCAGCACTTCCTGGGGGGAGGGGTCACTAGCCCCTGGGGCAGGGCCAGTGGTCTGTCCCTGATGTGTCCCGTGCCCAGTACAGGCTGGCACGGATCACACATTCCTTCATGTCTGACCAGTGAATGAATGAAGCTGATTCTCCTGTTGGGGGGGAGGGGGGTCCCAGTGAAGCCCCTGACCCTAGCTCTTCTGCCAGAACTCAGCTTCTTCTCAGTGGGCCTGTCGTGGCCTGGGTGGGCCACATCACTAAGGTCTGACCACGTTCTAGACTGGAGCTCCATTCAGTGCAGCCTGTGTCCAGCTCTAGCTCCAGTGGGTTCTTCTCCATCCCCCCAGGGCAGTGGCAGAGGCCCAGAGGGCAGGGACCCCTAGATGGCTCTGGGGCAATGGCCCACCTGGCTGGTGGAGAGGTTGAAGTGCATGGCAATGGCGTAGGAGGTGTCCATGAAGATGTCTGGCATGCTCACCAGGTCCTCAATGGCCTGTAGCTTCAGGCCCAGCAGGTGCCGGTCAAAGGCCTCCCCGCGGATGGCCTGCAGGAGGGGGAGCTGTCAGGAGCAGGGGCCGCGGGCCCACAGGGTGCTGCTGCCCTCCTCAGAACCCGTGGCAGCAACACCTCTTTCATCCACTGGCCCCTTGGACTCATGAGACCAGAGCAGCCAGGCAGGAGAGCCCTCACTTCACAGATGGGGAAACTGAGGCCCAGGGAGGCAGGACACTGCAAGATTTAAGAGCATAGGCCTGGAGCTGGGTGGCCTGGCCCCATCCCGGCTGTGGGATCTTGGCAGGTCACTTATATCTTGGAGCCTCAGTGTTTTCATCTGTACGATGGGGACTGTCACTGAACTCCCCTCATGGGATGTCTGCATGTAAGATGGGCAGAGCCTGGCAAACACAGGTGCTCGGAGCCAGAGCAGATGGGAGCCCAGCCCTGCATCCCCTTGACTGCAGCACAAGCCGTCAAAGGGCAGGAACCCCACTGTCTGCCAGACCGTGCACACCCTCAGCCTCCTGGCTCCAGGGGTACTGGGGAGAGAGCATGACACAAGAGCCAGAGGCCACGCCAGGACAGGGCAGCCACTGGGCTCAGCCTCTGTTTCTCCAACTTAAAAATGGGGATATTCAGCCTCGCTCCGGGTGCACCAAAGCTCAGGGGAGGGATGGCTGATGCTGAGAGGGTGAGCAGCCATTTGCTGCAGGAATGGACAGACAGGTGGGAAATGTCACAGGTCAAGCAAGTAGGGACAAGAGGGGCTTACTCACCCGATCAGTGTAGGCTCGGTGGGCCTGCACTGCCTTCCGTAGCAGCTCCACCTTCTGCTGCCCCTGGGGGGTGAGGGTAGGAGGGAGTTGCTGTCCCTGCCCTGTCCCTGCTGCCCACCTTGGCAGCCCACTCCCCACCTGGACCTAGATGCTGAGCTCCTTGAGAGCAGGAACCGGAACTGCCATCTCTCTAGTCAGTCCCCAGCCAAGGCCTGAATAGGGCAAATGCTCATTGCCGATGAGCAAATGAACGAATAATTCCTTTTTCTCTTTGGCTGCCAGAAAGCTCAGGACTAAACTCATGGCTCCTTTTTCTGTTAGATTCCCACTGCTCACCATAGTAGGTACTCAATGCACGTGTCGACAGAATGAACAGGAAGGGAGAGAGCTCAGGCCCAGCGCCCCCATCCTCACCCCAGACCTCTCACCGCCACATTGGAATCATCCATGGCTTTGACGAAGGTCAGCGAGTCTGTGGAGGCTGAGCGGATGGTGTCGGTACGGCCCAGGTGAAACATGCGCAGGGAGGCGCTTTCGTACGTGGCACAGGCCTGCCCATAGATCCTGGGTGGGAGACGGCGCTAAGCACACCCCTGGCAGGTCGCCCCCACCTCTGCCCCAGGTCTCAGCCCTCCCTCACGGGCAGGCAGGGCAGGGTGCACCTGTAGTAGGCCAGCTGCAGTGCCATCTGGATGAAGGCATCCGGGCTCAGCTTCTCCGACTTGGGGAAGTCCTTCCCAAAGTGATGGAACATCATGACAGTGAGGTCCAAGTCCTGGATCATGCTGGGGCGGGAGAGGGCAGGTGAGGAGCAGGCACCTGGTGGCCCTGCCAACCCCAGGGAGGGCCCAAGAGCGGTCTCAGAATGAGCCAGGTATAACGATAGCCCCGACGGGAGGCTGTCAGGCCTGCGGCCCAGCGCCCAGCACCTACATGCTGAGGTTCTGCTTGGCCTTCTCGATGTCGCTCTTGATCTCAGGGGTGATGTTGAAGCGCAGCTTTTTGGGCATGGGCAGGGGCACCATGGGAGACCGCACGAGCTCAGGCTTCTTCCTGCAGGAGACACGGGGCCTCAGGCTCGTGCTGGTGCTTGGGGAGCCTAGCCCACCCCTGCGATTGGGGTGGGGAGGATGCGTCCCTGAAGCTGGAGGGGGCCAGCCCCAGGAGACTCCTGGGTTTGCTTTTCTGAAAACTGTTTCACTCCAGCTTTCAAGTGGCCAAACGGAGGAGGCCAGGAGAGGGGAAGAGACTTGTCCAAGGTCACGGAGCTGGGAAGTGGCAAAGCCAGAATTCCAACCCAGGTCTGACTGACTCTAAAACCCAGGCCTTCTTCTGGCTCCCTTGGAAGAAACAGATTCCCAGGCGTAAGGGAGGAGCCAGTCTGTTGCCTATGTGTCACCTGTCACTGGAGCTGGGGACCTGGGTGGAGAGTGGCAGAACTACACTCACGTGAATTCAATGACGTGGTCCACAAGGGCAATGATGGGGGGCCCCTCTGCTGCTGCGTGCTCATAAACGAGCCCACAGGAGCCGTCCTCGGCCACGATGAACTGTGGAGGGAAACGGGGCATTAGCCAGGCCCCCGGAACCGCTCTCTGGCTGGGTCCAGTGGGAAGAGCCTCTCTAAAGCCACCTAAGGGGTTGTGCTGACATTACTGTTATGAACAACGGCTAACACTCAGCGGGGGCCCATCCCAGGCCATGTCACGCACGTCCCGTGCTGACATACCCCACTGAGTCCCTGCAGCTACCCTTCCGGGAGTCCTACCACCACCCCATTTCACAGATGCAGAGACGGAAAGTCATGGCTGAGATCGCACTGCTCTGCCTGGCCCACATCGCAGGCTCTCTCTGACGTGCTGCAGGGGTGAGTTGGGGGTGACAGCAGTTTCTGGGCCAGGCCCAGTAATGACATGCTGATGGTCTGGTAATTACAGCCGCGTTCACCTGCTGGCTTCCCACCAGCTTTACAAGCTGGGAGGCCGGGACGCCCAGGTGGAGGGGCAGGAAGTCCCGAGGCTGCAGTGGGCTGAATTTGGGTGTGTGTCTGGGGTGGGAGTCATGGCCCAGCCGGGTCCTCACCTGCAGCGTCTTGTCGAACCAGCGGTTGCCACTGTTGATCTTGCTGCCCCCACCGTGGAGCATCTGGCCGGCCACGCGGCTGCGGTACACGTCCTCTGAGACCCGAGGCACGGGCGCGTCCAGGCACACGGTGAAGATGCTTTTCTGGATGGAGCGCACCGAGTCTCGGTTCACCTTGTCTGTGGAGGCATGGTGGGGGAGACGCAAGACGGGGAGAGTGTCAGGCCTGGGGAGGCCTCGGAGGCCTCCAGAACATTCACCGAGTGCTAAGAGCTGGCTTCAGAGCTGGATACTCACTAGGGCCCTGCAGCACCCCGTGAGGCAGGGCCCAACACCTGACCCACTTTAGAAGCGAGGAAACAGAAGCCCAGGGTCAGTGCGGCAGTCTGACTCTGGGGATGACGCCCGTGACCAACAGAGGATTTGGGGGGAATGGGGAGGTAAAGGTGGGCTCCTCAGTCTGAGGACTGGACTCTCATTGCAACTTGCTACTTAATAGAGGGAAACTAAATTAACCCAACTGAGCCCAGGATCCTCATCTGAGAGATGGAGCCGACAACACCCAACCTGAGTTGAGAGGACTCATTGAGAAATGTGGCCGCCCAGGGCCTAGTGTGGGCAGAGGCTGGGATGTGGGCCTCCCTCCCTTCCCCATGCCCTCCCGGGGCACCTTTGATGAGGGTGTTGTAAGCCTTGGCCCAGGAGTTGCGGTGGTTGGAGGTGAGGATGCCCACGGGCTCTTTGTTGGTCTGCAGTGACGAGTTCCAGATCTTCTCCAGCTGCGTGAAGATCTGATCGGAAGTCAGGGGCGTCCCATCGCTGTGGTACACATCCAGCTCAAAAAACTGTCAGGGTACAGGCAGGTGGAGAGAAGGGGGCTGGTGGGGTCTCAGACTGGCAGCAGTCACCTCCCACCCCAGCCGCCTCCTGGCCTTGGCAGCCCAGAGGTCACAGCCAGCACCGTCCCAGGCCCCGAGGAGGGGATGGGGTCAGGCCAAAGGTGAGACGGGGAGGACGTCCCTGCATTGCTCTCCCCAGGCTGTGGGGTAGGCCCACAGCCCCTCCTGCCCTCCGTCAGGCCAGGGCCTCGCCGGGCCCCAGTGGAGATGCCCAGGGCATGCCTATCCTGGGGAGTCCAGGGGCAGGCGAACTGGGGAAGCTGACTTTTGGCCTGGCCGCCTCCTCCCTGGTAGCGGCGTGGGGGTGAGGCCTCAGGGGGCCCACCCACTTGGTAGTTGTGCACCACGGTGATGTGCATGGGCGGCTTCTTGGTCTTGCTGAAGTTGATGACCGAGTCCTGCTTGGGGCCCGGCACGCGGCAGGAGGACAGGATCTGATAGTACTGGTTCATGCACAGCGGCTTTCCCCCCAGGTACTCCACGGGCAGGGTCTCGCTGTGGGGGCAGGGGCATGGTCAGTGGGGAGGAGGGCAGGACCAACAGGGAGCTGCTGGGCCAGGCCGCGGGGGCTCACATAGCAGTGTCGCGCCCCTCACGTCCCTACTCCCACTCAGCATGAGCAGGGGGTCTGTCAGGGCTGGGCTGGGGTCAGGAGGCCTGCATTCCACCCTGGACAGGCCCTGCTTGTGAGTCACCCCGGATACTCCCTTCCCTTCTCTGCACTTCAGTTTGACACAGAAGACATGAAGAAGCGAGTCAACTCCCGAGGTCCTCTTTGGCTGGGATGCCAATTCCAGGGTCTCTCGGGATGTCACCAGGAAGAGGTCCCAGCAGCTGGAGCAGAGTACCTAGGCATCCCAATGCCCATGCTCTGTCTCCCTAACCCCAAAAGAGGCCAGGCCAACAGGAAGAGAAAGGCACCGGGCTCTGGGTCTGCCCAGCACACGGGCTGACGTCCTGGGCCAGGGCTTGGGGCTGGGCTGTCGCTGGGTGAATAATTAGGTGGGTGGGGCAGGGGCAGGGCAGGGCTGCTCACTTGTCAACCATGGCCTTGAAATCCAACACACCCTCGATCAATTTGGCAGCAAACCTGGGGAAACCAATCAGAGATCAGAAGCTGTGTGAACGTTCCAACCAAAGGAGGTCCCTGGGTCAGACGCCCGCTGGGTGAAGGGAGAGGCCGAGGCAGGAGAGGAGACGAACCGCTCCACTCCTCAGGCGCTGCTGCAGGGTGCTGGGCCGAGTCCAGGCGCAGGACCTGTGTTCAAGTCCCAGCTCACCCTTCTGAACCTGCTTTCTTCTAATTTCTAGTGGGAGGACTGTCAGGAGGGCTCAGGGAGATGCTGGTGGCCAAGCACCTAACAGGATTTAGGTGCTAATAAATGGCAGCATGATTATGGCTGGATTACGGGTCAGTACTGGCTGATTCCACCCCAAAGGGCCTGAGGCTCTGGTCCATATAGCCTAGAGTCTGGAAGGAGGTCACCCAGCTCTGAAGCATCAGTTATGGAGGGACCTGGGACCTCGGGGCAGGGGGAGTGGGACTGGGAGGGCAGTGGCTTGTGGTGTCCCCTTAGCTATGTCCCTTCCTGTTTCTGGGCCTCTGTGTCCCCCAGGCCACCTCCCTCAAGCTGGCCTTCCTCCCTGGACTGTCTGGGCCACACCAACCATGCCTAATGCCTGGGGCTGCCCCTGACCCCCAACATGGGGAACATGGGCTAGAGTTCCTGGCCCTGAACCCCTGGCCCTTCCCGGGGAGCCCTGGTCCCTTTAAGAGAAGCAGGTGGTGGCTGTGAGTGGCTAGCCCTTGGGCAGGAGATCCCTGTCACTGGTATTTTTATCCTAGGTAGGACTGGAACAGAGGCCAGGGCAAGTGACATGGCCGAATGTGGAAAAAGGGACTGTGTACAAAGGTCACCCTGGAGCCAGCTGAGAAGAGAGGGAAGGAGGGGTGAAGAGCCAGAATTGGGGAGAGGGGTAGCTTCAGGCACAGGGGGAGGGGAGGGACCTGGTCCCCAGTTTGGTGGTTAACAGTTATGAAGCTTTGGAGCCGGGAAAACCTTGCTGCCTGTCCCGGATTGGCTAATTCTGAGAGGTGATTTTGGGCAGGTCCCTTCACTGCTCTGAACCTCAGTTTCCCCATCTGTAAAATAGGGATGATGTTCCCTACTTCATAAGGCTGTTTGTGGGGATGAAAGACAATGAACAGGGCTGGGGCCCCTCCAGTCTCCTGGGGGAAGTGGCCCTCAGGGCCCTGAAAATGCCTGGAGCCCTGCTCCTGCTGCCCCCTGGCCCTGCCCCAGCCTCGGCCACTCACCGGAGCTGTCCCTGCAGATCCACAAAGTCCTGCTTGGGCAGCATTACACCAGGGCTGGAGTAGATGACCAGGGGCTGGCGGTACTGGAGGTAGGCTGTCTTAAGCCACCACTCGGACAGCTGGGCAAAGAACCAGAGCCTGTGAGGAGGGGTGGGCAGGGACCTGGTGCCCCATAGCCACCAGGCCCAGGGGACCAGGCTGGGCCCCCTCTGGCCTCTCTATGGAGCACAGATTCTCAAAGTGAATGCTCAGATCTAGAACCCCCACCCGCCTAAACCCACCAGCAGCATTCCATCATCTTCCCCTCAGCCTGAGCCAACCAGCATTAGCAAGAGAAGCAGTGAGGGAAAAGGGCTGTCAGGGAACCGGGTGGGGAGGGCGAGCGGGCAGGAGGAAAGAGGCAGCAATGTGAATCCTTTTGCTTTATCTTACAAATCTTTAGTCAATGATTTTACTACTTTTAGAAATAAAAATGTATGTCTGATAGACAGAAAGGAAAAAAGATACATAAAAAGGAAGTCTGCAGAAGGCGTCTCCATGGAGACAGGAGCCCAGGGCTCAGTGCGGCCCTTGGGACCCTGGTCCTCTGTGGCCTCAGTGTCGTGGGCGGCAGAGTGGGGAGTGGACACCCGCCTGGACCTCAAGGTCAGGGAGATCTGGAGGAAGCTCACTGTGAGCATAAATCATCGCACTAGTGACAAGATGTGGGTGACCCACTCTGCATCTCCACCCAGCGATCTGGCCTTTGCCAGAGGTGAGGCTGTTTCCACCAGGTGAGCAGTGTCTCTCTGGGGACCAGCCATGGACATGCTGTGACAGGCTCCCGTCTTGGGGCTGTGTAACTCACCCTTGGGCCTTATGTGCTGACTGCAACATCCCCTCGCTGTGCCCCAGAGCACAGGGCCAGTACAGCCCTCTCTGGCAGGTCCCTCAATCCCTGGAGACCGGGCTCCCACTGTGTTTCCTCATCCCATCTCAAACAGCAGTGGGACGTGCCTCTTCACCACAGATTCCCCTTGGGGACCTGATGGCCTGTGGCACCAGGCCACTAGTCTTGAGCCTTTGGCAAGAGGCAAGGGAGGGCAACATGCCCAGGTTGCACAGCAGATCACTGGGCAACTGCTGTCTGCTGACTTGTGGCCAGAGAACATGGTCCCTGATCAGCCAGATCTCCTCTATAGCTTGGGACCTCCCTGAGAGCTGCTGTGTGGCTCTGGGCTTTCAATCTACCTCTCTGGGCCTCTGTTTCCTCATCTATAGATCAGAGAGGGGCAGCTAGGAGCTTCTTCCCCTTGGGGACAGCTGGGCTGCCCTTTAGCCAGGGGCCCTCCTCCACCAGGGATCTCAGAGCTTCTGGCCACAGTTCAGGAAATGGGGGGAACCCTGCAGATGTGGGCATTCTCCCAGAGAGAATCTGCTGGGCAGTGGCAGAGCCCTTTAAGGGGCCCTGTGAGTGTGGAAGGTGGGACCTCACCCCTTTAGCCAGAAGCTTCTGTTTGAAGAGGAGTTCTGGGCTAAACAAAGTTGGAAAACTGCCGGACCCCAGACTCTCTAAGCACCTTCTGGGGCCAGCTGCCTGATTCCAGAGACTGAGGCCCGGACCTGCTGAGGCTCAGAACGCACGGCCCACCCTCCTCTGTGCAGCCCCCACTCCCCTCATAGCGCCTCCCACTTTATTGTTCCAGAACTGGCTCGGTTCCCTCCCGCACCTGTCTTCCCCGGCCATCCCCATCTCTCCCTCCCCCAGTGCAGTTACGTCAGGCCAGAACTGCTCCCCCCGCCCCCGGCCCCCAGCAGCAAGGGCCACTGGTGCTGCTTCTAACACACGTCCTGGCCCGAACGCCTTTCTACCCTGTCTGCGCCAGCCTCTCCCTCGGGCGATGGCGCCAGCCTCTCCCTCGGGCGATGGCACCAGCCTCCCCACCTGCCTCCCACCCCACTTTCGCTTCCCTCCCGGCATCCAGGGTGGTCTTTTTCACTCTATGTTGAGGCATAAGACGCATACAGAAAAGTGCATGGAGCATCAGTGTAGACACATTTCCACAAGCTGAACGCACTGGCGGACAGATTGAGACACAGAACCAGGGCGATCTGTCACAAACACCACAAATGCCCTGCTTGAAGCCAGCCTGTGGCCCCCTCTGAGCTCAAGCCCAAGTGACTTCTCCGGGCACCCCTGCCCTTGCTCTCCACTCCAGCCTCTGTCCCCAAGCAGGCCGGGCTGTTGGACCTTTGTCCACGGTGTTCCCTTGTTCTCACTCACCCAGTTCTCCGTCTTCCTGGCCCTGCGCTCCAGCCCTTTCTGCAGGCGCTCCCCCACGCCCCCTGAGGTCTGAAACTCTTCCACCAGCTGCTTGGTTTGGGCCCACTCCTCCTCGCTCACGATGGGCTGCAGCGCCTTGAGGTAATGGTCCAGGGACTGCCGCAGCGGGGGCACGGGCAGCCGGGGCAGGGAGTCCTGGTGCGCCTTGAAGCGGCCGGAAACCCGCGTCAAGGAGGAGGGCTTGAGGAAGCCCAGGGGCTTCACCTGCAGATGGAACATCTTGATCATTCTCTCTCGGCTCTGGGAGGCCCTGGCAATCCCAAAGCTGCAGTCCTGGCACTTATGTGTCCATCCCTGGGGGCAGGGCCAGTCTCTTGGGTGGTGCCCGCCCTGGCTTCCCAGCCCAGAAGCGGTAGTTGTCCCCGCCTCTCAGCGGCTTGGAGATGCAGGTGGGGAGGGGGCGGGGGAGTGTGGCCACTGATCTTGGCAGGGCTCAGTGGAACCAAGGCAGGACGAATGGCACCTGTTGTGGATGGCACAGGTGAGGGATCTCTCACCTGTCTGGATGCACAGAGCCCCGCCTTTCTCATCCTGGGATGACGAGCCAGCCAGCAGTGAGGTGACTGCTCCCTCCCAGAGGTCCCCACTTCCTTTTCTCCCACCCTTGCCAGGTTATAAAATAAGAAGGAAGAAGAGAAAATCAGAGGGAGCCAGATGATGACAGCACCCTTCGGCGAGGGTGGAGGCCTTGGCCTTTCTCCTGTCTGTGGGGTAGGGGTAGGGGTGCCACGGGGACAGCGCTGCAGCAAGAGAGAGCTGAGCAGCCTGGCAAGGAGGGTGAGAAGTGGCAGAGTGAGAGAATCCAGGAGACTCTGGAGGCGGGCAGAAAGAGAGGCGGGAGGGTCTGAGGCTGCTGGCAGCAGTGGAGAGGCAAGTAGCAGAGGCTCCGTTCCATACCTTCTCTTTCTGCTGCCCGTCCTCCATGGCAGGACTGAGGTTCTGAGCCCTGTCTGTCTGCCTTGGCTGGATCACTAAGACTAACTGTGCTACCAAGTGGGCGAGCAGAACCTAGCAAGAGACAGCCACTTGCCCCGGCTGGAAAGAGAAAAGAGTCAAGATTCAGGGGGGAGGCAGAGACGGCAGTGGAGACTGACTCTGGTGGCTGTGGTGGCATCCAGGGTTGTGGCAGCAGCAGGAGCAGCTGCTCCACCCGCCCCAGCTTCTAGAAGCAGAGGAATCAGGAACAGGTGAGAGGGCTGGCTATAGGCACTGGAGTAGGAGAAAACCTGGAAAACTTTCTCCTTTCTTCTCTAGATGGGCCCAGTGCCAGGGAGACAAGCCAAGAGGTATTAAAAAGTTCACCTGTTGAAATCTACAAGGTCTGTTTGATGAGGGAAAACTTGGCTGGAAAGCAGAAACTGCCTGGCTGCTGAGGTTAAACCACAACCCTGAAATCAGTCCTGAAAATTGGGGTTGGTGCAGGGGAGCAGACACGGGGAAGGGCGTAAGCGCACAGTGGCTGCAAAGAGCCCTGCCCACGCCCCGTTTCCCTCCAGGCCTCCTGGGGGTCCTTCCAGGCTACCCTTCCACCAAAGCCTGGTTCTCTCGAACTTTGGCTTATTCAGCTGGGCACCAAGAGTAGAGGACTTGAGGGATTAAAAATAAACCAAAGAGGGGCTGCCCCGTGGCCGAGTGGTTAAGTTCGCGCGCTCCACTTCCGCGGCCCAGGGTTTTCACCGGTTCAGATCCTGGGTGTGGACATGGCACTGACCATCAGGCCATGCTGAGGCGGCCTTCCACATGCCACAACTAGAAGGACCCACAACTATAAATACACAACTATGTACTGGGGGGCTTTGGGGAGAAGAAGAAGAAGAAAATAACAAAATAAACCAAAGGATGCTGGCTTTGGGATTGGGCTAGATTTGAGTCACCAGATCCAGGGGATTCTGGCTAAGTCTCTCCTTGCCTCAGTTTCCCTGGCAGTAAAGTGATCAGGCCAGCCCTGGTTAGGTGGTTAAGATTTGGTGCTCTCAAGCTGGGGATCGTTTCCTGGTCAGGGAACTCCACCCTCCATCTGTCGGTTGTGACACTGTGGTGGCTGCATGTTGCTGTGATGGTGAAGGCTCTGCCACCGGTATTTCAAATACCAGCAGGGTCACCCACGGTGGATAGGTTTCAGCAGAGCTTCCAGAGTAAGACAAACTAGGAAGAAGGACCTGGCTACCCACTTCTGAAAAATTGGCCATGAAAACCCTGTCAATAGCAATGGAGCATTGCCTCATAAAGCCCAGAAGGTGAGAGGATGGTGCAGAAAGATGGGCCAGCGTCCCATTCTGCTGTACACAGGAGGTGAACCTGGCTTGACAGTATTAACAACAGAACAAGTGATCAGGCCACCCGGCAGGTCCTGGACGATGGCCTAGAGGCTGTCTGTGGGATGGGGGACACAACCCAGGTGGCAGTGGCAAGGGCGAGGTGGAGCCTTAGGGTCCTGGAAGACCTGCAACAGGCTCTCCACTACTGGCCCCAGATGGGTACTCTCAGCCCTCTGGGACCGGAATATTCTTCTTGGCCCAGAGGGAGATACAAGCGGAGATATGCTTGGAGTAGAGAGAGCAGGAATCCAAATCAGGAGAGCAGCACTGCTTGCTCCAGGGTGCCCTCGGAGGAGGACTGGAGGCTGGATGTGGCCAGGTTCGGGGAGAGACTGGTAGAGAGGGAGGGCATGGAGCTGCCACCTGCTGCCTCCCGCCAGTGCTGAAGATGTCTGAGCAGCCCAGCCCGATGCCTCCACGTGAGTTTCTCTGGCCACACACAGTTCCCCAGGAGCCATCTGACAAGCCAAAGGAGGCTGACCAGCTGGATGGGGTTGGAGAAGTGGCTCTAGCCTTGGCAGAAACGGCCCAGGCTGAGCGTGCGAAGGGTGTGTGTCAGAGAACAACCGTGAGAGAGGCACTCCCCGTCTCTCTGCTCCTTGGCTCGGGGTCTAAAGGTGAGATGCTGCCTGAGACCAAGGTGCCCACTGTCTTTTCCGGGTCGTTGGAATTTAGCGCCATCGGCCGTGGGTTCGATCCGGCCTCTGACCTTGAGCCTCAGCCTCTTGCCCGGCCAAATGGGGGAAGCCCACCTGTCGACTCCACCCCAGCGGCTGCAGGCTGGGCTGCGCGGCAGCTGCCCGGCCGCGTCGCCTCGACGGCCCGTTTCCCCCACTCGGGCGCAGGTGCACGGCTGGCCCGGCCCGCGACCCGCCCGCCCCGTCCAGGGCCCGCCAGGCCGGGCTCCCGGCAGCACTCACCACGGTCCTGGCTGCGAAGGCCAACATCCCTGCGGCCCGCCCGCGGACACACGGTCCGCTCCGCCCCCCGCACGGGACAAAGTCCGCGCCGCCGCCGCCGTCGGTGGGTCCCCGCTAGAGCTTCCGGGCCAAGATCGCCCAGTCACCGCCGCCGCCCAGGAGAGGCGGCCCCGCGCCCACCCTCGGGGCCCGGAGGGCGGCGGACTGGCAGTCCCGGGGCAGAGGACGCTCGGGGCGGGGCCTCCAGCTGGCAGCGAACCCCGCGGCTGACCGCGGGCGCGGGCGGGGCCGAGGGCGGGGCCCGGCGCAGAGAACAGTTGGGGGACGCGCGAGGCGGTGGGGCCCGGGGCGAGGGGCGGGCGGAGTGATGTCCAGCTCGCTCTCTCCCACCTCCCAGCGCCGTCCAAGCCGTTGGAGGCAGTGGTGTGCGCCCCTCTCATTCCGCTACTCTCACAGTGATAGGAAAGCACAACCAGATTGACAGGGCAATGTCCTCTGCTCTTCCTCGAGATAGGGTCAGAGCCACGCACAAAGATGGCAGGCGCGGACGGCCCCGCAAAAGCATGGCCGCCGCACTCGTTGGCCCCCCCCCCCCCCCCCCCCGAGCCGGCCGTCAGCGCGCATGCGCCGGGGCGCCCCGCACCAACATGGCCGCCGCCGCCCCGTGAGCGAGGCCGCGCGCGCCGGCCGTTGCCGGGCATGCTCCCTGAGTGCCCCGCACCAACATGGCGGGCGTCTCCGCGGGGTGACTGTAATTTTCGGTTTTCGGTTATAGCCGGCCAGTGCTCATCGCGCTTCACAAAGCTGTGAGCGCGTCGTGGGGCCGGAGAAAGGAAGGGTGGGTTCCAGGGCGAAAGGTGAGCGGGGACTGCAGGCATCCGGGCGGCTCCGGCGGGAGGAAGATGGCAGAGGGCGAGCGGCAGGCGCCGCCAGGTAGGGCGGGCTGCGGGCCGGGGGCGCGGGGGCGGTGCCAGGCGTGGGGCGGGGAAGGGGTGTGGTGTGGGGGCTCGGCAGGGGAGGGTCGGGAGACGCGGGAGCTGGAGGGGCGAGAGCCGCGGGCCCCGAGGCGGGACAGGGCTTGAGGGGCCCTCACGGGGGAGCAAGACCCGGGGCCGCGAAGGGGTGGTGGGTGGACTTGGGAGCCCGGGCTGCCCGGGGCCCGGTGGGCAGCGCCGAGGCCAGAAGGGGGGCCTTGTCCACCTCTGGGCTGCTCGGGCCTAAGTCAGCTCTTGACCTGGTGGGGAGGCTGCCGGGATGGGGCCGCCGCCTTTATGAGACCGTTTACCCCCGGGGTACCGGGTGATGCTCCGTGGGCCTGGGCCTCCTCGACCCCCTTTCCAGCCTCCCGCACGTCCTGCCACCCCTCATCCGCCTCCCCTCTCTCCCTCTTGGAGGCCGGGCTCTGGAGTTTGCGGGGCTGAGAATTTATGGAGAGAAACTGCCCCTGCTCGTCTAAACCAGTAGTTTAAAAAGGCTGGTTGTGCAAGGAGATACGAGAGCCTCTGGCATCACCATCTGTAACTTTCATTTACATTGTGGCCTCTTTTTTTAAAGATTGGCACCTGAGCTAACAGCTGTTGCCAATCTCCTTTTTCTTTTCTTTTTCCTTTTTTTAAAAGATTTGATTTTTCCTTTTTCTCCCCAAAGCACCTGCAGTACATAGTTGTATATTTTTAGTCGTGGGTCCTTCTGGTTGTGGCATGTGGGACGCCGCCTCAGCATGGCCTGATGAGCGGTGCCATTTCCACACCCAGGATCCGAACCAGTGAAACCCTGGGCCGCTGAAGCGCAGCGCGGGAACTTAACCACTGGGCCACCGGGCCTGCCCCTGTGGCCTCTTTTTAATTCATTTCAAATGACTGGTGGAGGTGCTAGGGAAGGGGTCTCATAGAGATCCTTAACCTGGAGAAGGGACAAGCTGTTTGCCCACCCCCTACCTTGAGCTAAAAAGGACTGATCACAGATCAGTTTTAAAATTTTGTCAGAGGGGGCCGGCCCAGTCTGTTAGGTCTGTTATGGTCTGTTACTGCGTTCGGAACCACACGTTTATTTTATGTGGTTCAGAAACTTTTGTGTGTGTCCCCTTAGAAATCCTGGTAATGACTTCAGGAGATACAAGGCAAGGTGAATTATCAGGGAGGTGACTGTCTCTGACAATGGGTGGTGGCTGGAGAGAATCTGCACTGAGAGACGAAGGCTCAGGCGGGCTGTCTATGGCTGGGAAGATTCAGGTTCCCTGGAGGGGGTCTGTCTGTGAAGTTTGAAACAGGATGTTTTGGAACAAATGGAAAGAGCTACTTAACTGTGTGGTGGTGAAAATCTTCGGTTTTGGAGTCACACAGACCTGGCTTTGCCTGGCAAGTCGCAGCCTCTGTGAGTCTGTTTTCTTCTGTCTTAAAATAGGGCGACTATACCTTCTTCAGAGTTGTAGTGTGTGTTCCATAGCTGATGTGGCTGAAACGTGGGCGTGGTGGGCAGTCAGTAAAGGCGGATTTACTGTTAGCCTTCTCAGAGGTGGTCCAGGGTGAACATGTAGACCAGATCCCAAATGGTAGATGATAACACGTTATCCTCTCTGGGGTTTTTAAGGAACATCTCTAAGACTCTGCAGATTTCCATCTTATACTGAGATGTCGTAGGGGGATCCAGCTGTCCTGCGGCACCTTTGTCAGAGACCGAGTCTGAGGCTGAAGAGACTGTGGGTCTGACCATTTATCACAGTTGCGAGTTTGAAGGCTTGTTTTTCTTTTTGATTTGGGATTATATGTTCTGGGGACCTGTGTGTGTTTCATCAGTGATTTGTTACATTGCTTCCTACAAGGTAGCCTCTCCCCTGGGACCATGTTGGGTATGGCCTGGAGGTCTTCCTCTTTGTGAAACATCCCCTTGCAGGTTCTCAGAGAAAGAGCGAGTTCCCGAAAGGGCATTCCCAAAGATCATTTGCAAGTTGATTAGTTGAAATGTGGAACATGCTTTCCCATAAAAACAATGCGGTTAGGTTCCCAGCCTAATAAAGTTTTTTATTTAGCATCTTACTTAGAGTAGCAGTTTACTAATAGCAGCGTCCTCAATTTTGGGTTCTGGGAACAGGACTTGCAGAACAGGTGGGAGGAGGAAGAGAATTTCTGGTCTCTTTCTGGGGCCCTGGTTTGAGTTTTGAATTAGGCAGAGGTTTGCATGGCTCTTATCTCAGATTCTCTGTCTGTCTCCTGAGGTCTTCTGGCACTTTTCCTTTCCTCAGGGCCTCTCCAGGCAGGCTCTATTCCCCCAAATGTCATGTGTTCCAGAATCTTCTTAGGTCCTTGTCCCCTTTTCTCCATGCACCTGATGTCAGTTCGGTTTTAGGAAGACGGTGGGGATGGGACAAATTTATACTATGTTATGAGTGACTGGTAGTCCTTTGCTCTTCCGGGAGATTTTCGTTTTTAGAGGAAGATGCTTATTACTCTAACAAATCTCCAATAGTAGATTCAGTCCGCAAATCCCAACCCCAAACCCTAGAGTCAGGTGCATTTTGGGATTCAGAGTTTTTCAGATTTCAGAAAGCAGTGCCCCGTAATCAAACAAAAATATTCTGCAGCAAAACATAAGTTTCCTACGTGGGATACACAAAGCCTGTAAATGTCATGTCACTTTAGGTTTAAGTTTAGTACCACATGGTTTTGTGCCAAACTTATTAAAAAAAAACCTTTGGGTTTTTAAAACCTTTTGGATTTTGGAATTCTGGATAGGAGACTGAGGGCTGTGTCTCCCAGTGTCACGGCGTGAAGGGATCCTGCAGTGTGGGGAAGATATTTTTGGCTAGGGAGGCCATTCGGAGTAAGCAGTCAGCTTTGGTGCCAAGTGTGTGTCTAGGACGGCTCATTAAACTGCCCCGTGTTTTCCTTTCCCTCAACTTCTGAATATATAGAAACTCCACTTAAAATAGGGTTTTTTGTGGGGGCTGGCCTGGTGGCATAGTGGTTGGGTTCACATTCAGATCCCAGGTGTGGACCTATGTAACACTCATCAAGCCATGCTGTGGCAGAGTCCCACTTACAAAATAGAGGAAGATTGGCAACAGATGTTAGCTCAGGGCTAATCTTCCTCAAGCAAAAAGAGGAAGATTGGCAACAGATGTTCAAGGCCAATCTTCCTCAGCAAAAAGAAGAAGAAGAAGAAGAAGAAGAAGAAGAAGGTTTTTTCTGATTATAAAAGTACTATATGCTAGTTTTGAATAGTAATATGTAGGTTAGAAAACAGAAGTCCTTTATAAATTTCACCTCCTTGAGACAACTATTATTAACTTTGGTGGTTAATGCTTTAGGTTTTCCCAAGGCATATGCTAATAAGTATATGTGTTGTTTATATTAGTATGTAGAGTTGGGCTTTTGTTTTTTTAGTTTTTTTTGGTGAGGAAGATTGACCCTGAGCTAACCTCTGTGGGCAATCTTCCTCTTTTTTTTTTTCTCTCCAAAGCCCCAGTAAAGAGTTGTATATCCTAGCTGTAGGTCATTCTAGTTCTACGTGGAACGCTGCCACAGCCTGGCTTAATGAGCGGAGTGTAGGTCCCTGCCCAGGATCTGAACCGGCGAACCCTGGGGCACCAAAGCAGAGTACATGAACTTAACCACGGGGCCACGAGGCCAGCCCCTGTAGAGTTGTTTTTACAAAAGCGAGATTATATTACATTTGATATAGTACAATTTTCTTTCCTCACTTATGAAGATCTAGGCTGTTTTTCCTATGTCAGTAATTTAGATTTTATTCTTTTTAAAAGCTAGGAAGATTTTCATTATGTGGGCATATCATTATTTGCCCATCGCCTGATCGACTAACGTTTGGGTTGTTTCTGATGTTTTTGATGCAGTTAGCACCTTTTTACACGTGTGTCTCTTTCTGCGAGTACATCTGAAGGGTTGATTCCTGGAGGTGGAACTGGCAGCTCAGTGGGTGAATGCAGGCGGGGCTGAGTTGCCCCCTTAGCAGCTTCTGCCACCTGAGACTCCCCCCAACAGTGCAGGAGAATTCCTGCTCCCCCTTCTGCAGCCACTGCCCAATGTTCTTGATCTGCCAACCTGGTTTGGAAAAGTGATCTCATCTAATTTACATTTCTTTGCTTATTTGGAAGGTTGGTAATTTTTTCAAATGTTTATTGGCCATTTGTTGTTGTTCTTTTTCTTCTTTGAATTGTCTGTTTCTGTCTAAAAGATCAACTTGGTTCTATTTTTCTAACCGTTCTGCTGGTTGGGCAGCAGGAGGTGAGGGCATGGCAGAGCCCCCAAATGGATCAGCTGTTGAGGGGTTGCCACTACGGCCTGGCCCCTGTCGGGCAGGGAGAGGCAGGAGGCCGGTGGGTTTGGCTTAACAAGTCACTGCTCTGTCCTGGGAGCTTGATCTCGTTTATGCTGGCCTTGCGTGTTGGAGTCTTGGTTTAAAAGCGTGTGTGTGTGTGTGTGTGTGCGCGCGTGTGCGTGTGTGTGTGCTGGGGGGAGGATTCTATTGATCTGTTTGCCTTTGCATTTTCTTTATCAAGATTCTTCGGAGGATGCCCCTGCAGCCACTCAGAACTTCATCATTCCAAAGAAGGAGATCCACACGGTTCCTGACATGGGCAAGTGGAAGCGTTCTCAGGTGCCGGAGGGGTCTGCCCTGTGGGCTCGCAACTGGGATGAGAAGCTTGGGCTTTTCAAAGCCTGTGGTTTTCTGGGCATGACTGGGGCTGCGCGCTCCTGCCCCTTCTTGCTCTTGGATGCAGAGCTGTTAGAAGCTGGGGAGAGAGGTGACGGGGAGCTGACTGTCCCTCCTCCTCAGGGCAGAACTCAGAGACGCGTTAGTGCGGAACTCTCTGGGGCCGGGGCCGGAGTAACCCCGGAGGGTTCTGCTCCTGGCTCTCATAAGCCGCCGCTCCTTGAGTGTTGTACTGATTGAACGCCAGTGTCCTCAGTCACAGGGTGGGTCCCTTTGATTCTTGGTTGCAAGTACTAGCAAGTCTGGGAGCCAGTGTATCAAAGGGAGAGGGTATCATATGGAAGCCTCGCCAGGGAGGGGGCTGAGCCTAGAGATGCCAGGGAACTGGGACTGAGGGCACTGGGGGCGGACCAGCCTTCTGTGCTGCTCGGTCCACGTGGTGGGCAGAAGATAACAGCCTGTAGCTCCCAGGCTTCTGGAAAGACTGGGACTAAGAAAAAGAAAGCCACTTTCTAATTCCCAGGGAAGGCCTTGGGTCCCGCTCCAGCCAGGTGTCTCCGCCTGGTCTGGTCAGCTGGGGTGGGGACTGTCACTTGTCAGAAGGGCAGGCTCAGGGTCCCAGCAAGCTTGGTGGGCTCTCTTTCAGGAGTCTGCTGTGCTTGCATCGAGCCCAAACCCTACAGCTGCCGGGCCTTGTCCTTGTTGGGCCTGGGGGCCGTGGAGCCTGTCTGGCTTCTCTTTCAGAGGTGGTTATCCTGTCTTTTCTGAGCTGTGTTCCTCGCCGAGGCTTCACCAGGGTAAACACTTCAGCCCCTTTTCTTGCTCAAAGCACATCATTTGAATACTTCGTCGTCCTGTTGCTGTAGCTCAGGGTTTCCCAAGCTCAGCACTGCTGGCATCTGGGGCGGAGGATTCTGTGTTGGCCTGTGCGCTGCGTGATGTTTAGGAACCTCCTGGCCTCTACCCGCTAGATGTCAGTAGCATGCCTGCCCCTGGTTAGCACAACCGAGAATGTCTCCAGACGTTGTCAGCAGTCCCTTGGAGGCGGAGAACACTGCTCTGCCCTGAGCTTGCAGGTTTGTCTGAATGCAGACGTGGCTTCAGCCCCTTGCTTTCCCCCGGACATCCTCTGGAGAGAACTGGGTGTTTGGGCTGTGCCAGCAATTCAGCTCAGTTCATGCTCCCAGAACCGTGGGAGGCGGGCTCTCTACTCAGCTCCATTTTGAAGGTGAGAAAACTTGGGCCAGAAGGCCAAGAAATTTAGCAAGGTGGCAAGGCTACGAGTGGTTGAGCAAGTGAGTGTGACATGGCAAAGGTTCACGCCCCGGTGGCCTGGCTCTGGAGCCCCGTCGGGGGAGCCACTGTGCCCGAGGCTGCAGGTCAGCAGAGGAGCGCCTGTCAGCCTCACCCGGCCCAGGCCTGTTTTTGTGAAGAAAGTGTTGCTGGAGTGCAGCCACACTGCTTCATTGATATGTTGTCCACGGCCTTTCAGGCCGCGAGGGCAGAGGTGAGGACCTGTGCGCCAGACTGTGTGGCCTGTGGAGCCTCACATATTTACAGAGTTGGCCAGCCCTCTCCGGGGGCCAGCGCGCTTTAGGGAGTGTCAGCCACGTTTTCTTCTGGCCTATGTGTTCACTCGCTGGGAAGCTCATCGTTCAAGTGGATGGACCTGTTGCAGCCATGCAGGTGACTGTGCGGTGGTCAAGAACAAGGGCCGGGGGTCAGAGAGGTCAGAGCTTCAAGCCCAGGGTTGCCATTTTCTCTTCTTGTGACTTACGCAAGGTGCTTAACTTGACCAAGCCTCAGTTCCTGCTGCCGTAACATCGTCTGGGGGCTTAAATGACTGAAAGGCCGCAAAGCACGCAGCTCAGGGCCAGGCCTCCAGGGAGCCCTACTGAGCAGCACACGTGACCGTCATTCTCTCGTGGTGACAAAATGGTGTCAGTGGAGACTTCGCCATAGTCAGGTTCCTAGGAACATCCTGAGCTTTAGTCACCAAGAGCCCCAGACCTGTGTGGGAGCCAGCACTGCGGAGGGTGACGCAGCCCCTGCTGCTCCCTCTCCTTGCGCCCCAGTGTACTTTGCAGGAATGATGGTGAGCCTGGCCGTAGTCAGGACGAGGGCTCAGACTGCCCTGGGCTAGGAGAGTGGCTGCGGGTGCCCCCCGGCGGCCAGGTGACGCCCCCTTCCCCTGCGGCCACTCCATGGGCTGCAGGAGGACCATGAGAGAAGGATGCTCCCTTCTAGACACTGGGGGTTGGTGCTCAGGGCTCATCTCAGGGCTGGCTGTGGATGCCCCTGGCACCCGTAAGGCTTGGATAAGGAGGAAGGAAAAAGCGAGAGATGAAAGGGATGAAGAAGAAACAAGATGGAAGGGAAGTCACGTGCGCCCAGACCCGCCTCTCCAGGGGCCTGCACCTCCGTGCTTTCTTCACCCTGTGCTGTGTGTGACCTATAGCCCTGCAGCGGGGAGAGTGCCCTGTTGGAAGCTGGTGGGTGTGTTGGGAGACCTGGTCATGCACAGAAGACAATTTCTCCTGGGAGCATGGCAGCTGCACTGCAAGCCGGCAGCCTGGCCCGTCTGATGGGGGAAACATCCGGGAGATGCCCGGGGAGGGACCCTTGGTGGTATTCCTTGGACTCCGGGTGGGCTGGTAGTAATGGCCGAAGACTTGGCCACTCTGCTTTGGAGTTTGGCTGGCTGGGTCCTCCTCCAGTCTGATGAGATCTTGGTCTTAGGAGACCTTGGGCAAGTCACTTCTCCTGCAGTCTTGGTTTCATCTGTAAAATGGGGCCAGTGATAGTGGCTGCCTTGTGGGGTGGTTGTGTCAAGTGCTGGCAGCATCAGTGAGCACAGAGGAAACTGGCTGGAGGTCCTGGTGTCATTGTGGTCCCTGGCCTGCCAGCAGTGTGGGAGGGAGGGTGGGGGCGGGCTGTTCGGCATTATCTTTCTACGGCCCCTGCTGCTGGCTTGGGAGCCAGGGGTAGCTTGGAGCCCTTTGATAACGGGGGGGCGCTGGGGGCTGGCCAGGGCATAGAGTCCGGCTCTGACACCACTCTCCGCATCCCCACACCCGCTCTATTTGGTAGGCGTACGCTGACTACATCGGATTCATCCTCACCCTCAACGAAGGCGTGAAGGGGAAGAAGCTGACCTTCGAGTACACAGTCTCTGAGGTAGGCCGGTGTGGGCGGGCACCTCCTGGGCAGGGCCTTTCCAAAAATAGCTCCAGGGTCACGTGTGCTCGTGCCCACAACGGGGCCAATGCAGAAAATGAGATTGCCCAAACACATGTGCAGTTGACATTTTGGTGTCTCTATTGCTAATCCTGTCTTATCTGCAAATAGGTGGGTAGTTATAAAATTGGAATCAAAGTAAATATACTGTTTTATAGCCTGCATTTTTGCTCACTGATGTCTTTATATGACTTTTTAAATTAAAAAAGATCACAAAGAAGTAAATGTGCTCACTGAAGAGATGACTGACAGCGACGTGCATGACACTAACCTCCCGTACAGCCCTCCTCCCTAACTCCCGGGGCAGTCCCGTTCGTGGTGTGCGGAGTGCCACCAGACCTGCCCCCCAGTGCCTTTCCTGCTGCGTACATGGCTGCCTCATTGAGCCAGCCCTCATTTGTTTAAACTGCCCCCTAACTGTGGGCTTTTAGGTTGTTTCCCTAGACATCGCTGCTCTGGACATCCTTGCACACAGATCTGTGGGCGTCCTTTCCTGAGGATTCTTCCCAGAAGCGGAAATACTGAGTGGCAGGGTGCATGCTGCTGTGCTGCTCCGTGGCCGCGGCCGTGCTGCAGAGAGGGGCCTGTTTCTGGAGGGAGGGCGGAGCTGGGAGGAGGCCGATACCCAGGGGAAGGTGAGCGCTTGCAGGCCGTCTGCTCTGGCTGGTTGCCATCTCCCAGGGCTGGGTCCCAGGCCTTCAGTGGCCTCATGGGTTCCTGTCACAGTTGGCCCAGAGCCACCTTGAGCCTCTTATCTCAGACATCAGGGCCTCTCGCAGTTCCTTGTCCCACCCGGCTCTCCAGCCCTAGCCTCGGCCTGTTGGGTAAGGTCTGTGCTGGCCCAGTGCCTCCGTCTGTCCTGAGGCTAGCAGTGCCCTCTTAGCCCTCCTGCTCCTGGGTCCTAGCTGACTGCTGGGTGGCTGAGGTTCTGTTCTGTCACTTCTGGCGAGCCGGGCATTCACAGCTTTCTTTTGGGAGCTGACCCACCAATGACTTCTTGGGTTCCTCTTGGGCCCACCCAGCGCCCTGGGACTTTGGCTCTGGCACAGATGTCTGGGGAGGGAGAGGGCTCCTCCTTGAGCCCATGGCAGGGATGTCCAGCTGTGCTCAGTGGGCTGGGGAATGTGGTGTGGGACGGCTAATTAAAGGAGAATACTGTAATTACCCCAGCCGATCCTGAGCTGCCAGGTCCCTCTCAGGTCCCTTAATTGCCCTTGAGGCTTTGATGGCAGGCGGTCCACACCCACCAGGTGTTGTCTTGGCTCAGGAGCTGTTCTTTTGGCAGAGTTGCAGCGTGGTTAAGTGCTTGGGTTCCAGAGGCAGGCTGACTGGTTTTGATGACCTCTCACTTCTGAGCTGAGTCGCCTTGTCCCCTCTGACCCTCTGTTTCCTCATCTGTAGAGTGGGAAGAGCCGCAGGCCTGCTCATGGCCCCTGGGGAGATTCGCTGAGCTCCTGCACGCTGAGTTTTTCTTTAGCACAGCACCTGGCACACACTAGATGGCATTATCGTTAGTAGCTGTTGTTATCATTAACTGTCCTCAGTTCTAATTTCCAGCAGCGTTGTTGTTCCTTCAGCTGGGGCTCTTCCTGAGCTGGGGCTCCTCCCAGTGCCGGGTGGTGGCTTCCTCCTCACTCGGTGGACAGAGGTGACTAGTTTGGTCTCCAGAGGTCTTACAGCTTCTGCCCACAGCTGGCAGGGGCAGCAGGGCCTCGGCCCACAGGTGGGGGCCTCCTCCCGCCTGTGCAGCTGCTGGGCCTCCCTGCAGGGATGGCAGCTGTGGCCGCAGAGAGGGCCCAGTGCCTCTGGTGGCCTCGGGTGGCGGCTTCCGGACCAGCGGCAAAGGGAACAAGGAAGGGCGGTGTAGTGATATTGCCTAGGCCCATATGTAGAAGGCTCTCCTTCATTTTGAAATTGTGTCTGACCTGTTCTTTGGGGGTTAAAGTTTTTGCAACATAAAAGTGATAGGCAGTAGGAGGCTTATTTTTTGTTGTTGTTCTGTTTGAATTTTTAAGTGAGAGCAAAATGAAAAATTGGCAAGTAAAGTTTTGGAGAAAATGTTGCTGGTCCATGAAATCCAAAAAGGAGCCCTGGTCTGGGGAGAAGGAGGGGAGCTCAGAGGATGCTCCGGCCTCCTAGCGGGCTCAGCCCACAGTCCCCCACCCCTCTGCCCCAGCGAGCCGAAAGTGGAGGCAGCCCCTTGCGTTCAGAAAGCCCTCTCCAGAAAGAGGAGCTGGGAGCCTTTTAATGATTCAGTGGCCCAGCTGAGCTAGCAGCTGGGGCAGCCTCCGGAGCGCCGCCTCTGTGCCCTCGGTGTCACCAAAGACTGAGCTCTCCAGGGCCCCGGGCCTTGCCGGTGCTTCCTGGGGCCAGGATTGCTGGGCCAGCCCTCCTCAGTCCTAGTTGCTGCGTGGCGTTGGGCTTGCTCTGTCCTTGTCAGCCGTTCCTGGTGACCTGGTTCTTCATAAAACCAGGCTTTGGCAGCACTTTCTGTCACATTTCATCATGGCGGCTTTATGTCCCCTGACCGCCTGCCTCAGCCAGACGCAGAGGGAGCTTTCTCCTCTGATGGGTAAGAGGGGTGAGGACGGGCTGCATTCAGGGCCGTTGTCCTGTGGCACAATGCCAGGGGGGCTGTACAAGGACTGCGATGTGATTTATGCCTCCTGGAGCTGTGCAGCCGGGGGTGACATGCATTCCTTAGCTCGAGCGCTCCTCTCCCCTCCCCACAAATATGCGGCCGGCTCTCAGACCACTTCTCTGCGGAGTCTCTGCAATGGCAGGCCGGCCATGATGGCCCTGCTGGTCACGACTTTTCCTGTGGGCACCGCCCTGCTGGGTCCTACCAGCGTCGGCAGCTCCTGGAGGTGTCTCCTTGCACCATCTGTGCCAGTCAATGTGGCCAGGTCTGCTTCGGGCAGGGTCCCTCCTCCCAGGGCTGCCTGACTCCCAGTGTCCCTGCGTCTGCACCGTGCGCTCCCCGAGCCCTCCGTTGCCCTTCCTCCTGGCCCGTGCTGCAAGCCTCCTCTGGGAGGAACGCTTTCCTAGCTGCCCTCACAGACCTGTGTTTTGGGTGGACAGTGTCCCCTGATTTCCTCATGGAGTGACATTTTGTGTGCGCATGCACGAGTCGGCCTGTGACACTGGTTCCACTCCTTTGTCCTGCCTTCTGTGGGAAAGGTGTCAGTGAGGCGAGAGCAGGCTGTCACACCCGCAGAGCGTTCCCGCGTCCCTTCCTCTGAGCGGACCTCTCCACAGAGGCTGGGATGCCACGTTGTTCATCACAGTGCTGTTTGTGGTGGTGAACAATCGGAAGCAGCCCAGACATTGACCAGAGAGGGAGTCAGTGAGTAAACGGCAGCGCTTCGGCCCAGGAAGTGCTGTTCACTTGTTACAGGCTATCGTGACGTTGTGTCTGCGTGTGCACGTGCAACGAGGTTCGTGAGGAAGCTGAGCAGGCTGCGAAGCAGTGTGTGCCCCGTGACCTGTGTTTTTGAGTCCGGATGTGTATAAATTTATACTATCACCTCTGCCAGGTGCTGCACTAGGCATTCTTTTTTTTTTTCCCAGAAGAAAACATCACGTTTTATAATCTTGGAGTAGAGGAGATATTTCTGAGCATGACACAAAATGGAGAAGCCATAAATGAAAAAAGTAATAATGATGAATAGCAATTTTAAATACCTGACAAAAATAAATAAGTACAAACAAACGAAAAAACACAATCCAAGTCAAAGACAAAGGACAGATTAGGAAAAAAACACTTTGAACAGACAATGGGGTAATTTCCTTAGTATGTAAAATGCTCCTAGTAAACAATAACATCAACAACCCAGTAGAAGAATGGGCAAAGAATATGAAATACGAATGGCTTTTAAATATATACATGTTTATAATAAATTGAGATTTTTCCGGTTTACAAATGAGTATGTTAGTGGTAGAGATGATCACCATGAAAATAAATCAGAGAAAGACATTGAGATGTTCGACTACACTTCTAGGAAACACAAATGAAGCTACAGTGAAGTGTGGTTTCACGCCTCCCAGGCCTGCAGGATCGAGCATTGATTGGCAATGGGGGCATGAGCTCCCTCCTTTGCTGGAGGAGGGGTAGCTTGGTACAACCTGTCTAGGGATCACTTACCCGTTTAGAGATCCAGGGAAAGCCTTCTGTTTCCTCCCCAAAGCCCCAGCACATAGTTGTACATCCTAGTTGTAGGTCCTTCTAGTTCCTCTGTGTGCGACGCTTCCACGGCCTGGGGTCCGCGCCCAGGATCTGAACGGGCGAACCCAGGGCCGCTGAAGCGGAGCACTTGAACTTAACCACTCGGCCACAAGGCCCGCCCCAAGGAAAGCCCTTTGACCTAGCACTTCTGCCCTAAGGAATTTAGCCTACAGAAATATGCCTGCTTGGGTACAAAGACATTTGTACAAAGATAGGCAGTGCAGCACTGCTTGTTACGAAAGACTGGAAAGAACCCGAATTTCTGCCAAAGGGAAACATAAATAAATTAGAGTGCTAGCGAAGTACAGTGCAGTCGTTCAAACAGATGAGTCTGGTCTAGATTTGGGAGCATGGAGAACACTCTGCAACCTGTGCCGAGTAAAAGGCTCACACATCAACACGTTAGATGCACACGCACAGACTTTCTTTGTCGACACCCGAGAAACTGGCTTCTCTCTTCCCCAGGGCACGGGAGCCAGGCCGTGGAGGTCAGGGGTGGGAAGACACTGAGTTTTTCCCCACACCCTTTTGTACTCTGAATTTTTTCCTCTGTGTATCTGAAAACGTTTTTGTCCAACTGTAAGCAGTTGCTTTGAATGTGCTGTGTTGTGGGGCCCTGGCTCTCAGGGAGCTGACATTCTGATGGGTGAGAAGACTGCAGGCTCTGTGACAAGCGCAGGGCCGGGGTGGGGGGTGGGGGTGGGGGGGGGGTCGGTGGGTACACAGCAGGGGGTCAGGAGGGGGTGCTTCAGGGAAGAAACACTGTAGCAAGAGACTGAGAAGAATTCAGACTGGTAAGGAACACTAGGCACGCTGGGGGCATCGGCCCAAGACCAGGACATAACGAGGGCATGTCAGTCACAAAGAGCAGCTTATGCAAAGGCTCTGTGGTGAGAAGGGCCGACGAGAGAGAGGACTACAGACGGTCTCTGCTCCAGTGATCACACACTCACATTCAGTTTTGCTTCTAAATGTCCTATATTTTCAAAAATGTCCTTAGGCTCTGAGCAAGAGGGGCCCGTGGGACTTGGGAGGGACAAAGGGACAGGAGCTTCACTGCCCACCCCCAGGCCACGGCGCTTCCCTGTGTTAGAGATGGGTGCGCCGGGACTCCACGACCCCAGAGTTGGGTCAGCCCAGAGGGTGGGTGGTGGCGGGAGGACTCGATAGGAGGGCCCTGGACGGGTCACTTCCCATCTGACGCAGTGGCAGCAGTGGCACAGTCCCATGGCCTGCTCTTTGTGTGCCTGGGGCCCGTCCTAAACTCTTTGGACACCGAGTCTCCATTCCCAACCATGAACAACAAAGAGCTCTGCAGTGCAAAGCGTCCAGTGGCCACGCCTGGCCGGACTGGCGCGGAGTGACCCACTGCCACCCTGTGTGGTGGGGGCGTGGACACACCGGGATACGCAGGCCTGCGAGCCGCCACCTCGGCGCGCCTCGTGGAGGGGCCTTGCGAAGTCTTTATCATCACACCCATTTTTGAAATGGGGAGCAGCCTCTGAGAGTCAGTCACTGGCTCGAGGTCTCGCAGCGACTAAATGGTGTTTCAGCTGGGCTTTGAATCAGGTCCAGCTGCCTCGAAAATTCTTAGCATGGTGAGCGAGAGAAAACACTGTAAAAAGATGAAATAAAAGAGGATGTGAAAGTGTTAGTGGTGTTTATTTCTGGGACAGGATTACTGGTCATTTTTGTTTTCTCCTTTTTCATCTGTTTTCTGGGATGCATAGATATTGTGTGCTGAACAGCAGACCTCAATAAAATCTCTTAGAGAAGGTCAGGGCTGCGTTCCGCCTGTCCAGCTCCTCCTGGATAGGCTGGCTGGAGAAACCAGGTGCTGAAGCCACACCTGTCCCTTCAGCCTAGTGCTGTCCCTTTCTGTAAGGCTCCCTCTGTTCCCCCAGCCCCTCCTTCATATTCAGGACGTTTGGGAAGAAAGGGGAGAGCAAGGAGAATGCGAGTTAGTGCCGTGGCTTGGGGTCATTGGCCAGCAGCTGTTGGGACTCCTCTGTGGCTCTGGCTCGGGGCCCCTGGTCATTGTGGCTTGGCCCCCTCTATTTTGCCTCCACAGGCCATTGAGAAACTGGTTGCTCTTCTCAACACGTTGGACAGGTGGATTGATGAGACCCCTCCGGTGGACCAGCCCTCTCGGTTTGGGAACAAGGCCTATAGGACCTGGTATGCCAAACTCGACCAGGTGAGGCTGCCGCAGGACAGGCTTGGGGGCGGGGCTGGGGGAAAGCTTGCAGGCAGATCAAAATCACTGGGGGGTTTGTTAAAATGGCAATTCCATTTACCAAAAGTATGAATGCATTTACCCTCTGCCCCAGCCGTCTTCTGGGAATCACCATGTGGATGCACAGTCCTCTGCTCGGGGCTGTTCATTAGGTCATCGTTTGTATTCGCAACAGGTGGAAGTGTCCCTGGTGTCCATTCTCAGGGGAAGAGCTAAATAGACCGATAGGGGATCAGTCAAATAAAATCCAGCCAGCTGGCCACTCTCCCCCCAGGGTCTGTAAGAAAGAATAAGGAGGCCGACTAGGGAAGTCAGGGAAGGGCTCTGCGATTTACTCTTAGGTCAGAGGAGCCAGGGCAGGATGCGCACGGCAAGCTGCCTTTTGATAGGAAAGGAGGAAAGATAAAGAGGTGTGTTTGTATTGGTCAGTTTGCCCAGAGAAGCCTCACTGGAAGGACACACGATGGGCAGGTGCAGTTTCTTTTTGAGGGCAGGGGAGGGGGGTGGACAGGGACGGGGTGGAGTGAGACTTCTCATGCCTCCCTTTTAGAATGTGTTTATTTCTGAATCATAGGAAGGTGATACCTGTTCAAGGCAAACAAAAAATAAAAATGCAGGATTGCAATGCCATCCTTAGAAAGGCCGAGTCTGTGGGTCTGGGCTGGGCCTGGGAGTCCAGCTTCTCCCCAGGTCTCCAAGACACTCTCATGCCTGGGCTACCACAGACTGGACTCAGAGAAACTTGGGTCCTAATTTCTCTGGCCCCGTGTTTTCACATGGAGCAGAGGAGAGTCCCAAGGACCCAGAAAAATGCTGTCCCTGCCTAAGAATGGCCTGGGGCTGCCTCTGGACTCTAAGATGGCATATACTCTTGGTTTTTTAAAAGATTTTTATTGAATTATAACTTAAAGCTGACAAATCATAACTGTATAGTTTGATAGACCTTAACATATGTTTTTACCATTGTACCCACCACCTGTATTAAACCACAGAGCATTCCAGCACTCCAGCAGGGCCCTTGTGCCCCTCCTAGCTGGTATCCCCAAACTTCTCTGACTTCTGCTCCATAGCTCGATTTTGCCTGTTTTCGAACATCATATACATGTCTGGCTTCTTTTGCTCAATGTTATGTCTGTGCAATTCATCCACATAGTTGTGTAGCAGTGGATCTTTTTCATTGCTGTGTAGTATTCCATTGTACAAACATATTACAGTTTATCCATTCTACTGTTGATGGACATCTCAGCTGTGGGTTGTTTCCATGTTATGGCTACTGTAAATAATGCTGCTATGAACATCCTTGCGTACATCTTTTGGTGGACATATGGCACAAACTCCGTTGCTGGAAGTATGAAGAAAGATGACCTCTATGGAGTGTCAATGAGTTACGTGATAGGAGAGCTGAGTGGGTTTTTTTCAGATCCCTCCTGTCTTGCCCCTGGAACCTTGTCCTCTCGAGAAAGTGTCAGCAGACAAAAAGCCACCCCAGGGTAGTCCCTCTGTTGTGTACACATAAATGCTCTCCCTCCTCTTCCTTCTGTGACCAGTTGGAGCAGGGAGCCAGGCCCAGCTCGCATGGCATCCTGGGCTCCAGCCAGATGCTGCCCCTGGGCGCTTGCCATCGGATGCTGCCTAATCTGCTGCCACCACCTTGTGTCTCTTGTGTTATCAGGAAGCAGAAAGCTTGGTGGCCACGGTGGTCCCCACCCATCTGGCGGCTGCTGTGCCTGAGGTGGCTGTTTACCTAAAGGAGTCGGTGGGGAACTCCACGCGCATCGACTACGGCACAGGTACCTGCCTTGCTGTGGTCTTTTCTGGGTTGCGGCTCTGGCTGGCTCCACCAGGGGGCGCTGGCACCACACATGTGGTGCCTGTCTGTACAGAGCTGATTTCTGTTCTTTGTAAAGATGCACTGTGAGCTCATCATCACCCAAACAATAGCTTACTGAGCACTTACTATGTCTTGAGGCCACCGCTTTCAGAAGCCTTGAGAAATGGAAGAGCTTGGGAGCGTCTGGCAGCGTTGCGGCGCACCCTCTCCCTGGGCCCCTTGCTCTTGGCCCCCGTCTCTGTGCTCCTGAGCTCTTGTGGGGAGGCAGGGGTGGAGCCGTGGAGGGAGAGGGAGGGACCGGAGGGCTGTGGAGGGAGCATTCTCCGGGCCAGGGTGCTGAGGAGGAGCCTGCGTGGGAGGCCTGCCTTTCCTTCCTCCACCCACAGCAGGCTGCACAAGACCTGCTGCTCTGGGCCCGCCCCTCGCCTGGGGCTCAGGATCCTCAAGAGGCGCCTGGACCAGGGGCGGACCAGCCTGGCTTGGGGGAGGTTTGTCGTCTGCTCCCCCTGTTGCTGGGGAGCAGGGGTGTGAAGGGTTTTGAGACTTCCATGGTGGGGCTTAGACTCAGGCCAGCGGGGGCGCCCTGTGAGGAGAGCCGGCCGGCAGGGTGGGTTCCCTCTGCCCTCAGGCGCTCCCGGGTGTGGGAGTGGAGGTTGCCCCTGAGCGAGGGTGGCCTGGACTGGGCTGCTCATGATCAGAAGCCGTGCAGGTGAAAGCCACAGCTCACAGGTTTCTAGGCCCTTGGAGGGGCCTTCATTCTGCAGAAATGGGACAGGAACTCACTGAAAGATTCTCTCCCCACCTCTCTCGAAATGTGTTTTTATGATGCCGTGAACCGTGGGATTCAGTCCAAAGTCCAGTGGGTGGTTTCTGTACTGCTGACCGTTCCTAGTTGACATGACTGGGAAAGGAAGGGGGTGCCTTTTGACCCTGTAATGTGACCATGCTTAGAAGGTGACCTGCTTAGAAGCCTTTGGTGGCTCCCCATTGCTCTAAGGAAAACATCTGAACTTTTTACTCTGGCTATGAAGGCCTATCTGATCTCCAGCCTCATCTTGTTACACTTTCTCTCTTGCTTGCTCTGCTTTAGCCATACCGGCCTTCTTAGGGTTCTTCAAATATATCAATTTTTTTTTTTTTTTTGCCTCAGGACGTTTGCACATGCTGTTTCTGCTGGCTAGAAGGCTCTTCTTGCTCCCCTCACCTTCTGTGCCTTGCCAAGTCTTATTCATCTTTCAGATTTCAAATTAAATATTACTTCCTTAGAGAAACCTTCTTGAGCCCTTACATCAGGATCTCCCTGTGATATCCTCCAGTTATCACCCTATACTTCTCCTTCAGAGCTGGGGTCATAGAAGTGACTGTATATTTAATGTCTGTCATCCTGATAGATCATAAACTATCAAACGAGGGCAGGGACTTCTTCCCACTGTCCCCCTAATGCCTGACGTGGACAGTGACCCACAGTGGGTGCTCAATAAATAGGGTGGCATTGATGACTGACTTAAACCTACAAAATTCAAGAAAATGCCTATTTAAAGAAGTCAACAGCCCAGCCCTTTTAGGAGTAGAATTACAGTGCTAGGAGCTCCTAAAAGCTCCTAAAAGGTCTTTCTGGATAAGGAGGAGGCCCCGTGGTCTCCATGTCGGCCTCCCCCCTTCGAGGGCAGCTATCAGCGGCCTGGGCTCTAGTGAGACAGGGCATGTCCCACTGCTGTTTCCGGAAGGCTGTCAAGCTCGGCGGTTCCTCCCCAGGACACGAAGCTGCCTTTGCTGCCTTCCTCTGCTGTCTCTGCAAGATCGGGGTGCTCCGGGTGGACGACCAGATAGCCATCGTCTTCAAGGTGTTCAATCGGTGAGTGCGGGGAGGGCGGGGGGTGGCTACCTGGCGGTTGAGCGAGGGCTCTGCCCTTGTTCTTGTCCGGCCGGGGACAGGTGCCAGGGTTCCCTCGTCCTGTCCTCATCAAGCTCTGGCTGTGGACAGGTGTCCCAGACTCCTCACAGGTTCAACTTCCAGTCCAGACAGTGAAGGGAACGCCGCGTGATGACGGCTTGTGCTCCCGTGGCGGATGCCATGAGGAGGTGCATTCTGAGCGCTTTCTGTGCGGCTCACGTAATTCCCACTGCAGCCCTGGAAGGAGCAGCTCTCGTTTCCATTTTATCGATGGGGAGGCCGAGGCACAGAGAAGTCGGGTCTCTTCCCTGAGGTCACGCAGCCATCTGAACCCAGCCAGTCCAGCTCTGACCTGCTCCCCTCACCGCCCAGACTGCCTGCCCGGCAGCACGGCTGTGTTTCAGTCACCAGAGAGTGACAAGTGCCTGTTCTGGGCCCCCCTGGCGATGCCAGCACGGGGGCTCCTGGGGCAGTCTGATGCACCTTTGATGACACTGGAGCTCGGCGCTGCGAGGGCCTAGGAGGTGACCTGCCCCGCCAGCGCTCCAACAGGCGAGCCGAAGTGGGGGAGGCTGAGGCTCCTGCCCAGGGCCTTACGTTGTCAGGAGTTGACGGCACTAACCGCACCCCCTCCATCCCAGTCGGTGTCTGCCCCTTTCCTGGGCCAGGAGGAGGCTGAGTAGGGGAGACAAACAGCTGCGTGATCTGAGAGTCCCAGCTGAGGCGTAGCTTGGACACGTGGGTTGTCCCTGCAGTGGAGGCCAGCTCCAGTCTGAGGTGGGCCCTTCTGGCCTCGATCTCTGAAGGGTGAGACTGGCTTTTTCCTTTTTGCTCCCCCGTCCCCCCTCCTCCTTTGTAGGTACCTTGAGGTTATGCGGAAACTCCAGAAAACATACAGGATGGAGCCAGCCGGCAGCCAGGGCGTGTGGGGCCTGGATGACTTCCAGTTTCTGCCCTTTATCTGGGGCAGTTCGCAGCTGATAGGTACTGAAGCGGGGCAGGCGTACCCCTGCGCCCCCCAGGGCGCGTTCTGTACCCTGCCCCGCCCTTCTCTCTTCTCTCCTCCCTTCTCTTCCTGCTCAGCACGGACAGTGACAGCTTGTAAAGCAGCCATTAGACCGGCTGTTGATGGGGGCTGCTCGCTGTCCACCTGCTGCTGCCAGCCAGTGTGGCAGGCTGGGGGCGGTGGGGGCAGGGCGCCTCCGAGATAATGGGAAGTGACGTGGCTGGAGCAGGGCGCTCGCCTGGCGCATAATGGACTGCTGTGCAGTCCGCCCAGCTCCTGGCAGCAGCTGCGGGGTTTAATGTTGAAAATGAGGGGCTCCTTTGACTCGGTGACCAGTGTCATCTGCTGTTATTATGGAGCCATGAGCAAGTGAGCCCTTCAGGGAGCTGCCACCAAGTGCTGCGCGGTGGGCTGCTCACTGTGGGCCGGCTCTGGGGGTTGCCCCCCACTTTCCCCAGGCAAGCCGGAGCGAGGGAGGGATCTGCCGGTGGGCGAGGCAGGTGCTAACTTCTGGTTTGGGGTAGGTTAACTCCCCTCACAATAATGCTAATAAGTGACTGCTTGTGGAGGCCTGGCTCTGGGCCAGGCGCTGCTCTGACGGCTTCAGGTCAGTTGGCTCCCGGAATCTTCTCCGGGACCCTGCCACCACTGAGCAGCACTTCCTGTGCAGGCCCCATGGCAGTGCTTTACGGTGGCTGTGATTGTCAGGCGCTACCCAGCAGCCTATGAGGGAGGTGCTGCTCTTAGCCCCGGCGCACAGATGAGGAAACTGAGTCACACGGCTAGACAGAAGCAGAGCTGCAGCTTAGTACACTAGAGTACACACGCGGCCATTTACTCTTCCTGCAAGGCCAGGTGTTGAGGGGTGTGGGCTGGGCTGTGGCCCTGAGCTGGGTGTGGCCCACCCTGGGCTGAGGCGCCCTGAAGGTGTGAGCGCCTGGTTCTGAACTCCAGGCCTTTGTGCTGTTCCCAGACCACCCGTATCTGGAGCCCAGGCACTTCGTCGACGAGAAGGCTGTGAATGAGAACCACAAGGACTACATGTTCCTGGAGTGTATCCTGTTCATCACTGAGGTGAGGGCAAGGGGGTGCGGAAGAAGCGCCAGCCGCCTCCGGGCTGGGCGAAAGGAGGTAGACAAGCCAGAGCTGCTGCCCAAAGGTGGTGGGCTGGCCGCAGGAGGCGGCTTCTTGCAAGGAAGCCTCTCCGGGAACTTAAACAGCTTCTGACCATCCCAGAGCTCCTCCTGCATCAGTGGTCTGGGCGTCCCTACCTGAGCCGAGGACTAAGACTCAGTCACTAGGCGGACTCGGTTATCCATAGAGCGGGTCTGAAGGGAGGGCGGGTATTGTTGGGGGTGCGTGGGTGTCAGCATCTTGTGGGGGGGCCCACAGGTCTGGGAGCTGTGTGTGTGTGTGGATGTGTAGGGTGAACCCATTGCAGGAGTGGGAGGGACTGGAGTGGACAGGACAGACTTCTGCTGAAGGGACACATCTCTGTCAGTGCTGGAGGACATGGGCCAGGTGATGTGGCGGAGGTGAAAATGAGCAGGCCTGGTCCCCCAGCCCACCCCGTGGGGGTCGTTTAACTGGGTGGTGCTGTCTTGCTAAGGCAGGATCTCCCACAGTGCGGCCTTAGACCACTTCCTCAAGATTGCCTGGGGAGCTTGTTAAAAAGCAGGTTCTTGGGCGCCACCCCAGCTTTCTGGATCAGAATCCTAGGGAACGAGAGCTGGACCTATGTTTAAACACACTGGCCACATGACTGTGCATGAAAGGTGGGGACCCACTGTTCTCAGGGCCTCTCTTTCGGGAGGTGTTGGGACCTTTCATCCTCCCTTCCTGGTATACAGTCGTGTGTGCCGCCCCCCCTTCGCACAACTCCTGAAGCTCACCCCAGCTGTGCTGTCTGGAGAAGTCCTTCCCCCATTCTCTTCCCTGATGCCGGCATGCATGTCTGCTGGCCCAGTGACAGCCCTGGCACAGCCATGGACCTCGCCCCCTCCCCCGTGGGGGCTGCTCTCTCCGCTGCCCATTCTGAGCCCCCGGAGAGGGGCAGAAGCCTGGTTAAGCAGCCGGGGCTCCAGGCTCCTGCTGGTCAGCATTCGGCTCAGGCCTCCACCAAACTCCAGAGGCCAGAGGGGAATGACACGTTTTTCTAAGTCAGCAAATGGCGCGGGGCTGGCGCTGGGGGCCACCACTTCATTCTGCGAGATCTGCTGCCTTCAGCAGAGTAGCCGGCCCAAGGTCGGGAGGACTCCAGGGCGGCCTGGCTCACTGCCGGGAGCGCAGTCACGTGCGCTCCCTCCAGAGTGGGATGCGGGGTCTGCGGAGCCCCGGGAGACCCCGGGAGGAGCTGGAGGAGCAGGGGGACGGGTGCGCGTGCTGCGCGGAGCTGCGGCCTCAGCCCTGCTCCGGTCGGGGTGAAAGGCGGCGCTGGTTTGGCTCCCTCTGGTGGCTGGCCGAGCGCCTGGTCCCCGTCAGTGACTGACAAGGACGAAGGTCAGGCCGGGCCTCGGGGGACGTGGGAGCTGACTCCAGGTTAAAACTTTGTATTTTTGTTTGGTTGGTTGATGGTGCCGGTATAAAAAACCAAAAGCTTTCCCAAAGTGTGGGACCCAGTTCCCCTGCTCGAGGAAATCCTCCAGTGGCCACTAGGTGGCGTTAAAGGCACGTTGAACCAGGAGAGGGTTTTGTGACCTTTGCTTGGGGAGAGGCGTGAACTGGGAGGGGGCAGGCCGAGAGCTCCTGGGGGTCCCGCACCCTCTCTGCAAGGCCTGGTTTTCTCTTTGGGGCTGGGTGCTCAGGCTTGGTGGTCCGCCACGGGGTGCTGGCGGTGTGCCCCAGAGCCGGGGTGGCTGTGATGAGGCCCCCTCCACCCCTGGCCAGGGCGCCCGCGCCAGCACACCTTGCGCTAGTTCTCAGCTCTGTCTGCCCCCCTCCCACCCCCCCGCCCCTGTCCACCTCAGACACGTTTGCAGCCCCTCGTCGGTGGGTGGGTGACCTGGCCTGGCTTCCCCTGACAAAGGGAGGCCGAGGGCCTGACCCTGGGGCCCAGGGACCTGGAGGCCTGCGTGCAGTCTTGCGTGCTAGGGTCGGCAAGGGGGCGGTTGCCCCTGCAGACCGGAGGTCTCCAGGGCCCGTGCCACTAGGAGGCTAAACAAAACAAGAAGTTGGAAATGGAACCACCTTCTTTTCCTGGTCTCACCCCAGGGACGGCCGGGACCGCTCTGGGAGCCCAGGGCATCCCGGAGGATGGCCGCCCCAGCAGGGCTTCTGCCGCCTTGGGAAACGCAGCCCTGGCGCCTTTAAGAGCCCAGGGCAGCAGGAACAGAATTTCAGCCTCAATCTGGCTTCTAAATTTGGAGTTTTGGGAAGGGAGGGATCGGATTTCAGCTGGAAGGGAAGGAGCTGACAGGAAGGCGCTGTGCAGCCTCCCACCCCCGCCCATCCCCCGTCACTGACAGAGGAGCCATTTACAAAAGGCCGATTCTCCCGGGAGTGGAGAGGCAGGAACGCGCCTGTGAGTAATTTCCTGCTCAATATGGCTGCTCTGACTCACACGATTCCCCTGGGGTCACTGCGGGACTGCGGCTGCCTGCTCCTTCTCGTTCTTTCTCTTCTCCCTTTGTGGCTAGAATGAGCTAGATTTTTTTTGTCTTTTCGCCCCTGATTCCTCTTTTCCCTGTTTCCCTTTCCCAGAATTGCACAGTCTCCTTCTGAAGGACTTAGGGAGACTTGGCACCCTGAAGGGGGTGCGCAGCCCCTCTGGAGAAACAGCATCTCGGGCCTTTCCACGGTGGGGGCCCAGCCATGGGGCTCCGGAGCTCGGCCTCCCCTGGCTCTGCCAGTAGGCCAGAGAGGCCTTTTGGGGCCCCCCTTCCGTGCCCCTAGTGGATGAGGCTGGCCCAGGAAGCAGAACCTCTTGGTTCCCCGAGTCCACCCTCCGGCCCTGGCCTGGGAGACCTTGCTGAGCAGCCCCCTGGGGCTGCTGCTGTGGGATGAAGCCAGTCAGGGTCCCTGCTGGGTAGTGTGTCATGGGCCCTGTCCAGAGTGAGCCTGGTTACACAGCTCCAGTGGTCCCTGAGCTCCTCAGTGCCTGGAAGTGTGCAAGACAGAGCTGGAGCCTGGTGCTTGCCCCCGTGGCAGAGATCCTGGGGAAGGGGCGGGGCGGCCAGAGGGTGGAGCCTGACTGAGTGGGACTGTTGGAACAAAGCTCCGAGGAGGCCTGGCCCCAGTAGGAGGAGGGAGCCTTAGAGCCAGGAGCGAGCCTTAGATAAAGAGAGGAGGGGAAAGATTCTGGGTGAAGGGACTAGCCCAGGAGAAGCCCTTCCGGGACCAGAATGGGTTTTGTCTCTGGCACCTTGGGCTGTGGCCTCAATGTTGGTGGAAAGTACTTGTTGTCCCTGTTACTGAACCCATGGGAAGAGACAGGCTTTTTGGGGACTTGGACTAGGGGAGGGAGGTGACCAGGGTAAATGTCAGCTTTTTTTCTTCTTTTTTTCCTGACGAAGATTCGCCCTGAGCTAACATCTGTTGCCAATCTTCCTCTTTTTGCTTGAGGAAGATTCATCCTGAGCTAACATCCATGCCAGTCTTCCTGTATTTTGTATGTGCGTTGCCGCCACAGTGTGGCCACTGACAAATGGTGTAGGTCTGCACCTGGGGAACTGAACCCTGGGCCGTCAAACTTAACCAATAGGCCATGGGGCTGGCCCCGAATGGCAGCTTTTTTTGACTTAAGTCTTACATTTTTGGAGTTGGCCTGCTGGAGAAGTGAGGGGCCTTCAGGAGTGGGCCACCAGGTAGAGACTACAGCCAAAGGGTGGGGCTTATTTACTTCTGGGCCTTTACACTTAAGATGTCCAGTATGGAGAGATGGCTTTGGCCCATCCTTTCTGCCTGGACCAGCTCTCCCCCAGCCCCACCTCCACACACAGCTTCTTCTGGAACCTTCTACCCGCTTGGGTCCAAGTCTCCTCTTCCTTGCCAGCTCAGCCTCTTTGCTTTTCAGGCGCCTTCTTCTGACGCTTTCTGGGGCTCGGGGTGCTGAGCCCTGTACCCCAGCGTCAGGGCTGCTTATCAGCACGGGAGGGGACGTGCCGAGGGGGACTGTGAGCTGCTCGTTAGTAAATACAGGTGTGCTGTCTGCGGGGACTCTCAGGCACACAGGCTTCCCTGTCTCGGTGCTGTGGTTTCTGATGTCATGGGAACTCCACTGGGCTCGCTGCAGAATTTCTCTCTTCTTTCTCAGAGACTCAAACTCTTTGGCAAGAGGAGGGACCAGGAATGGAGCTGTCCTTCCTCCTGCCTGTCCCTTGCCGCCTGGTTGCCCTCCCCTCCCCAGGTCAGGCTGGCTTTCTAAGCAGACCCTCCTCCCGAGCCTGCTGCAGGGCCCTGGCCATGTCTGCCCCTCTTCCTCCTCCCCTCTGCGGGCAGTGCACAGGCCAGTGGGATGTGTGGTTTGCTCTTACCCGCCTCGGCCCTCCCCTGAACGGCCCCTCCCTCGGCTCTTCCCACTCCCCCTGTGGCAGACGCAGACTGAGTACCCTATGGTGGAAGCCCCCTGTGTGCGGGCCTGGGGGTCAGGGTCCAGGCTGCTGCCGCTGCTGTTTACCTGAGTGGGAGGGGGTCCCGGTGCTGGCGGGCTCTCTGTGGTTCTGGCGAGTGGTGGGAGCGCACCAGAAGCTTGGGTGGAGCGTTGATTTTTCTGAGGCTGCTGGATGCGGTGGACAGTGGGAATCATTTCCCTTTTTTGGCTGTGGAAGAAAGAGGGTGACTGTGGGGCTCACATTTTCCCGGTGGGTCTTACAGGCCAGGAGGGTCCATGTCTTTGGCACTTATGTGTGCCTGTGTGTGTGCACTCCCCACAGGCAGGTGTTGTAGCCTGGTCCCCTTGTGTGCAGTGTGTGTGCACGAATCTGTGCATGCATGTGTGTGTGTGTGTGCGTGTGCGTGAACCTGCGTGCATGTGTGCACGCATGACCTTGCTGCAGGGGAGCAGGGGCTGGGCTCCCAGGTGGCCCGTTCTCCAGCAGAGGGACTCTCTCTTGCAGATGAAGACGGGCCCCTTTGCAGAGCACTCCAACCAGCTGTGGAACATCAGCGCGGTCCCCTCGTGGTCCAAGGTGAACCAGGGCCTCATCCGCATGTACAAGGCCGAGGTGAGCGGGGCTTGCGCTGCTCTTGGCCTGAGGGCTGTTGTTCCCTCAGCCTGGCTCTGCTGTTTGGCTCTGCATCTTGGGCCAGCCCCTCTGACACTGGAGGCCTCAGTCTCCGTCTGTGGGATGGGCTGTCAAAAAAGCACTGGCCTGAGGCCCAGCTCTGCGCTGTGACTGAGCAAGGCCCTGCTGCTGGGGTGGGGGTGGGGATCATCTCTCTTCCCACCTGGTCCCCCGCAGCTCTGTCTCTCTTGGGGACACGAAGACCCAGACACGCTCGGAAATGGTTTTGTCCCTTGGACGCCTCATCCAAAGTGGCGCTTCTCACACTGGTGTGTCTGATCGCTGGGCAGTGGGAGGTCTGTGGGCCCAGGAGCTCTCCCCTCAGAAAGGCAGGGAGAGGCCGGTCTCCCAGAGCTCCCCCTGCTGGGAGGCGGCCCTGGGCTCCTGGGGCATCTCATGCTCTCTCCTTGTCCTGCTTGGCACTCTTCTCCCGGCCAAGGACGTGGCTTTTTCTCTTGCGAGTAGGGAGGGGACATTCTCTTTCCATCCTGTCCCTTGCACTAGCTCCTTCCACATCTTGGGCAGACCAGTCCTGGAACTGCTTCACCTTGGCCAGGGGAGGGGCTGGGTGTGAATTCCCTCACCTGGAGCAATGGGTCCCCAAAGTCCCCTCTTTTCGCCCTCTGGCTGGTGGTCTCAGATGCCCTGTGGGTGCCCACCTCTTGACCCTGGGCCATCCCTCTCCCGTGGAGGGAGGGAGGTGCTTGGTCTGCTTCATTACGCCCAGATCTCACTCAGACCCGGTCTCCAGAGGTGGGGAGCGGGGAGGAAAGGGTGGTAGAGGGCTGGGTGTGGCTTGGTAGGACAAGTGCCTCCAGTTGGCCAGCTCCTCTGCCTGCCTGAAGGGGTTAACGGCGCTGGCACTGGCGGCCTGGCCCCTCTCCCTTCCGCCCCTCCCCCTCAGTCCCTTCCTCTGGACTTCACATCCTGTGTTTAGGCTCCAGCCCACATACCTCTCTAATCGGAGAGGAGCGTTTGCTGGGGCTGTGCAGGCCCCTTCCGCTGCAGTTGCTGGCCCTGTCCCGCCTGGAGAGCACAGGCCATTGCCCTCTGGGTGTCCTGTTGTTCCTGACACCCCCACTCCCACAGGCCCACAGTGGGTGCTGATGGGGAACCCCGTCACCCTGCCGAGCCCTCCCTACTCCTGCACACGGCCCCCCAGCCTCCCACCCCACCCCGTGTGTCCCAGGCAGAGCTCGCTGGGATCTTAAACACTGTCCTTCCTGCAGGCTCTTATTTGAGTGACAAAACTTCTGTTGACCCAGGCCCCTGAGGGCAGAACAGGGGACCCTGCCACCTTTCCCTACCTGCCCCTTCCAGAGGCAGGAGAGGTCCAGGCTGACAGGAGGAGGGAGGAGCAAATTCAGATCTGAGGTGGTGACAGGAGGGCAGGGACAGAAGGTTCCTGGGGTGAGCGCTGTCTGTATTTCTACGGATGGTCAACATAAGCAGGGCTCCACTGAAAACTCCCCCAGCTCAGGACCAGACAGGGAGCACCAGTGGATGACAGTGCCCTCCTGAGAGCAGGGCCAAGCCCACTCGGGGCACGTGGGCGCGGCGCGAGCTTGCTGCCCGGCTGGCGCTGTGGGGCGGCCAGCCTCCTTTGTAGGGCCGCACTGGAACTCTGACTAGTTTGGGAACACCATGTCTCTGGGGTGTTGGCTCTCATTTGACAGCCTCCCGCGGGTAGCCCATAGTCTCTGGTCCCCGAGAGCCCAGGGGGTCGCATTCTTCCTGCCCAAGGTGTGAGGAGAGGACTTGCTTTTTCGTTCCCGTTCTCAGCCCACAGGGAGGGGCTTCAAGGCCCACCAGTCTTGAAGTCCAGAAGGGGGTTAGAAGGGAGTTAGCAGGGCCAGGGCCGCTAGCCAGAGTTGGCTGCTGGAGGGCAGCCTTGTCCCTGAGCGGCCACAGAGGCCTGACCAGGCCTGGCATTAGGTGGCCTCCAGATTTGGGCCCAGCTGTCCGCATCTCCACACTGCCTGGCCTGGCCTTCCTGAACGAAGAGCCAGATGTGTTCGGGGCCCCTGGGGCTGGGGCCTGTCTTTGCTGAGGGCTGTCACTGTGTTGGCACTCCCTTCAGAAGGCCTTGTCAGGGCCCAGAGGGCCCCTTCTCCCCGCAGTCACCGGGACCTGGTGTGTGTGTGTGGCGACAGGCTGAGGCTGTTGCTCTGCCCCATACGCAGGTGGGGTGGGCACTGTTAGCTGGGCAAAGGGCCTGACCAGAGGCCCCCTTCTGCTGTTCCCCTGAGCCTGGGACTTGCTTTGCCCCAAACCTCCTCTTGCCTTTGACCCTGCTCCTTGCCTCTCCTGTGGCCCTGGGGAAGCTTGAGTGGAGAGAACTTCTGCCCCTGCCCCTCCCCCTAAGCTTCCTGCCCTCACAGCCTCTGTGAATAAGAGCTAGAAGCAGGTTGACCTTTGACCCTTTTTGGAATTCCAGGGCCCTGGGGGGGCCCCCCCTTTTACCAACTCCCACCACTTCCTCCATGACATAAGCACAATGGCAGCTGCCTTTGCCTCTGGCCTGGTCTGCTGCTCCTCCTCCCCCAGGGACCACTCCTGGCTCCTGCGCCCCGCTTTCTCTGCCCCAGGCCCACGAGCCTGGTTCTGGCCCGGAGCTCTGCTCCCACACTGAGCTGGGTTCCCGTCCTTCTTCCACTGCACACAAAGATTTCCCTTTTCCTGCTCCCCTCCTGGCCCCCCTTGTCCTTGTGGACTGACCCCACCCTGACACACACACTGGACCGAGATCTCCTTGTTTCTGCAGCTGGTTGTTGAGGTGAGGGAGCCTGGCCGGTCATGGCGGGCCTTTGTCCTTCGAAGTTAGTTGAGACCACAATCACAGAATGGGACGGTCACCCCTTCTAAGGCCATAAGTCTTATTCCATGCCAGCCAGGGGGTGCCCAGCACATTCTGGTTGTTTTGTGGCCAAAAGTGTTAGAGGGGCAGATTCTCACATGCCTGGGAGAGCTGCCTGTGAGAAGCAGCTAGTGACCAGGGCCTGGGTGGCAGGCACAGCAGGGCTGCTGCGGGAGGCTGGGAGCTGGGCCTTCCTCCCCTTCCTGGTCCTGTGCGGTGCTGACGCCGTGCCCGGGCCGGAGGGCAGAGGCGTGTGGGTCTGGGGTCTGGCTGCCTGTGGACCAGGCCAGCTTCTGGGGTGCAGGCCCTGCCGATTTCTCCATCTCCTCTTCTCTGCCAGAGCCCTGGGGCTGAGGCCGCTGCTGGGCTGGGTTTGGGGAGTAGGGCCATCCCCCAGCTCTGCCACCCTCGCTCCATGCACTGGGCTGCTGGGAATTGCCGGGGGTGGGGGTGGGGGCTCTCAGCTGGTTCTTATTGTCTCGCTCTGAAGTGCCAAGATGCCTTTTTCAGTCCAAAGAACTGAAAATTGGAGAAAGCAGGCCTGGGACTCTTCTCAGGCTTGTGTCCAGTGTCCTCACACCTCTTCTCCAGGCCTGGGACCTGGCTACAGGGTCCCCAGTGATCTGGAGGGTTCTTTTCACCTCTGGTGTCCAACTTCTCCCTCTGGGCCAAGTGATGTCATTGGCTGCCTCTCTTGGCTTCTGCTCTGTGGGGTTGGGCTGCTTCTCTCCCTCTCCCTCTGTCACTCTCATGCTCGTTACTTGGTGGATCTGATTGTCATGGAGTGGGGTCTTTGGGTGGGAGGCTGTGGTCGAGAACAGCTAGGAAGCTGCCCCTCCCTCCAAAGCCTGGGGGCTGTTCTGAGACGGCCACTTCTTGGGTCCTGGATGGAAACTTCCTAGAACTGCGCTGGACAGAGCCTCGGGGCTGTCCAGGGGCCCCTGGAGGCCCGAGAGGCCGAGCAGGCCACGGCAGGGGTGTGGTGCAGCCCTCACCTCTCTGCTCTCCCCCTTCCTTCCTCACAGTGCCTGGAGAAGTTCCCTGTGATCCAGCACTTCAAGTTCGGGAGCCTGCTGCCTATCCACCCTGTCACGTCGAGCTAGGAGGGGCTGAGCAGCCAGAGCCATCCAGGCCGCACTTCCTGTGCCTGCCCCCGACCCCAGCCACGGCCCCCTCCCCGCCCCCTCTGTTCTTTCTGTTTGACAAGAGGCTCTTTCCTGGGGTGGGGGGTGAACATGGTGTGAGGGAGGCTCAGGGCGTGAGGCTGAAGGACCCCAGTTGGGAGAAGTGACCAAGTGACTTCTCCTGTGGTGGGCAGGCAAGAAGAGAGGGCCTGGGCCAGGGTCCCTGGGCCTGCCCCGGCTCCCGCTCCCTCTGGTGCAGCGCACCCTGAGGCCTGGGCTGCTCCGCTCCTCTGGGGAGGGCTATTTCGCTGTTTCTGTTGCCTCTTTCCCTTCGCAGGCCCCTTGTCTTTCTAGGGGTGGAGCAGTTGCTCCCCGCAGGATGGGTGGGTCCCCAAGCTGTGTTTGGTAGGCATCGGGGGATTTGAGGGCTGGAGGCTGAGGCTGGTGGCCAGCCTGGGGGCGGGGGTCAGGTAGGAAGAAGCAGTAGCTGTTCTGGTGACCCCTCCCAGCTCCCCTCATGCTGCCCTGGGCCTCTGGACACCTGTGTCCAGCGCCTCATCCTGGCTTTTCTGTTCTGACTTTCCTGCCACAGCCACACCTGTTTCCCTCCCCAAGGGCAGCCTCTGGAAGCTGCCCTTTGGGCGGCCGCTGGGCTCCTGGGAGGGCCCCACAGGGCTTGCTCACCGGCTGACTGGGTGAGGCCTGCCCTTCCGAAGCTCTCCCTGGCTGGGAGGGGGCCGGGACTCGGGGAGGGGCTTGGGGCCAGCAGTGGTTGTGGAGAACCCTGATTCCTCTCGGCAGTCTTACATCCGGCAGCTTCTGTTCCCTCCTCACTCTGCTTGCTTCCAGTGCCCTTGGCCCTGCTTCCCGGCCCCTGTGGGCGGTGGGTGAGCAGGCCACAGCAGGGCTCAGAAAGCAGCAGCCCTTGTCCTCCAGCCCCCCTGACCTCGCCCTGTAGCATCCCGGGATGAGGGAGTGATGGCGCCCTAAGCCCGGACTTGGGCCCAGAGGATGGACGGGGGCCAGGCTGGGCAGGCCCACCTGAGGGGTGACGGGGTGCTGGCGGCAGCGGGCCAGTTCCAGAATCTTCTAGGGCTGCTCCCGGGCCTGGCTCTTGCAGCCTCTGCCCTGCCAAAGCCAAGGCCGGCCTTCTCCAGCCCCCTCCCCATAGCTGGGTCCACACACCCTTTGGGAAGGGGGAGCACCCGAGAAGCACAGTCCAGGGCATTGACTCTTGGATCTGGGCCAGTGGCCTGTGCAGAGGCTGGACAGGAGCCACAAGAGTCACAGAAACAGTTTTCTGAGGAGAGGCCCAGTACCTGCCTCCCTGCCGGGACCCAGACCACCGCCTTCCTGGCTCCTCTGTCTCCGTGCCCCCTCGGGCCCCCAGCCCCTGCGCCTTCATTGCTGTTCTGATTAAAGCCTCTGTTTTGCACCTGTTACCTGTGTGAGATGTGTCCTTTCATGCCACATGCTTGTTCCATCTCCGCATGACTGTTTGTTCCTCCATCGAGTCCCCTCCCTGGCCCTGAGGCTGGGGCTTGGGTGGTTGCGGTGGGGTCTGGGTTGGTTCCTTCCTGGGCGGCAGGAAGGCACCCAACTGAATGTGTGATGTTGCTCGAGGAGCTCGGAGCAGAGATCTGGGTTCAGATCCTGATTGTCTCCACCCCGAGCTGCAAGGTCCTGGGTGAGTCACTGAATCTCTGAGCCTCAGCTTCATCGATACAGCGGGGACCGTCACAGGGTGACTGTAACAGTGAGTGAAGGGTGCAGAGTCCTCAGCTCAGGGCCCGCGGTCACTGTGGCTGCCCTCGGTGACAGCAGCCTCTCTGGACTCTGGAGTCAGCCCCAGACTGGCCTGCGGGAGCCTTTGGCCTGGACCTGGCTGTGAACCGTGTCCCAGCAGTTCTTAAAGGGAGTGCTCTCCTGTCCCGCCACCCCTCGTGTCCCTGTCGTGCTGGAGTCGGGAGACGCGCTGCTCTGCCTGAGACTCTTGGACACTTCCTTGGGAACTCCTGTTCCTGGGCTTCTGTCTTCAGATGAGTCTCCTCAGACAACAAGAGCTTCCTCCTGGCCCTGGAGGCCTTGCAGAGGGCCCAGGATAGCCTGGGGCCCAGAGCCCGGCCTCTGCAGTCAGGCGGACCTGAGTTCAACCCGAGGCCCATCACTTAGTAGCAGGAGACCCTGATGGTTGACTCAGTCTCAGCTTCCTGATCTGAAAAATGGGCATGACGACAATTAGGTCACGGAGTGTGAGATTCATTCATTTCTCAAGTGGTGGCTGCGTATTCCTCATTCTAGTGTAGACGACACCAGTAAATCCCTGAATCCCAGAGTGGTAGGTAGTGGTGCGTATTTTATGAAGAGCATACCAGCAGTTAGGGTGGTGAGGGGGGTTTACAGGAGCTACCGGGGTCAGGAAAGACACCCTGGAGCGTGTGAGCTGAGACCCCCAAGAGGAGGAGCAGCCCTGGGGAGAGCCGCAGGGGGAGGGGCAGCTGGGGAGAGCAGGCCGGGCTCCAAGGCGGCTGCCTTCTGGGCTCTGCCCGGGGGTTCGGGGTCTCATCTTAAGTGTTCTCTGGGAAGCTCCTGGAGGGTTCTGGACCTGAGAAGGGCTTGGGGTGTGTGGGGCAAGAGGGGAGGTGGGCACCGTGTGGGAGGAACCCTGGATTAGGGTTCAGAGTGGAGGTGGTGAGAGGTGGTCCCTTTCAGGCTGTGTTGGGAGGTATTGCCACAGGAGGGAAGGTGGGAGGGGAAAGGAGCAGCCAAGAGCAACCCAGTTCTTGATGCCGGTTACGGAGCTGGGCAGACTGGGGAGAGGGATTTGCTGTTGGCGGGCTCGGGGCTGGAGGAGGCAGCTGGCTGTGCTGTCCAGAGCGGGGCAGCCGGGGGGTCAGGGAGGGGTCTGCAGGGCTCCCCGAGGGAGCAGTGGGGATGAGGGAGGGAGAGAAGAGGGCTGCCTGGGTGGGAAGCCCACTCAGGACCTGGGAGATGCGACGTGGTGAGGGTTCACACTCCTGCTCATGCTGTGCTCGCTGCAGGATGGCTGCACTGCTGTCGTCCCTGAGGGTCAGCGGGGCCATGAAGGGAAACCAAGAATGGGGTGGCTCCCCAGGGCTGGAGGCTTCCCGCCATCCCGGGCCCCAGAGGCCCCAGAGAGCAAGGTGAGCTCCAGCTGTGTTCCCTCCTGGCTCGCAGGGGCCGCAGCCAGGCTGTGCTCCCAGGAGGTGAGGGCAGAGGCCTTTCCTGGGAGGAACCCCAGGCAGGAGTTGGGGGTGGAAGGAGAACATGGTGAGGGCTCGGTGTGCCCAAGGCTTGCACCCAAGTCGGGTGACATGTTTTTCTTGAGTCCAACAAGCATTATGTCACAGGCATTTGGGGGAATGTGGAGATGAAAAAGGTGAGAATCCTGCCTTCCGGAAGCTTCCAACCTAGTGGGGGAAACAGAGAGACAGTGGACTAGCCATGGAAGAAGGGGGACGATGGACTCCAGGGGGAGCTCGGGAAGGTTCTGTGGAGGAGGTGGCATTCAAGCGGGGCCTTGAATGATGGGCACAGACAGAGGGCATTTTGGTGGGAGGCTGTGTGAGCGGAGGTGTGGGGGCTGCCGCAGGAGGCAGAGCTGGGAAGGCAGGTGGAGGCTGGCCTGCGGAGGGCTCTGTGAGGGGCGCCCACAGCGCTCAGCTCATCCCCTCGACACACAGCACAACTGCTTTAATTACCTGCAGAATGTATGCGTTGAAGGAATGTCTTCTCTGCTGGAAGATGCCACAGGAGGGCAGGGACCCGCTTGCTGCTGTATCCCAGTGCCAGCAGAGACTGGCACAGAGAGGCACCCGGTACACGTTGAATCAGTGACCAGGGAGGATGTTTAACTGGTGTGTGTGTGTGTGTGTGTGTGTGTGACAGAGAGAGAGAGAGAGAGAGAGAGAGACACCCAGATTGGGTTTCAGGAAACTGGGGCAGCTGTCTGGGTGCTGGATTGGAAGCTGGGTGCCAGCGACAGGGCTGGTGCCTGGGCCCAGGTAAGAGATGTTGACGGCCCTGTGCAGGGCAGAGAGGCCCCGGGCTGGGAACGGGGAGATCCAGGTAGGATTTGGTGCTGAGGGAGAGGGAGGAGTTCTCAATGACTCTGGGGACTCCCCTCTGTGCCTGGGAGGAGCCTCGGGGCAGGAGCAGGCCTCAGGGAGGATGCTGTGCTCAGCGGGAGTGTCGCTCAGCTGGTTTGAGGAGCTCTGTGGGGTAGGCTTTTGGGCCTGGCTGATGCTGAGGCTGGCAGGGCTGCTGAGACCCAACCCCCAGTGGAGTGGGGGGCCGGGCTGCAGGGACTTCCAGAACCCCCACCAGGCTCCCTCCCTCCCCCTGCGCTCTAGGTTCCGGTGCACCGGCCTCCTCTCTCTTCCTCAGACTCTCCGGGCCACTGCACACTTAGCATTTGGCCCTCTTCCCAGAACCCTTTTCCTCACTGGAACCCCTGGTCATTCTTCAGGGCTTGGCTGAGGCCTCTCGTCCTCTGGGAGTCCTCACCTGGCCCCCACACCAGGGCAGGTGTCCTGGATGTGCTCACATGGCCTCATGCCTGTCCCCGCTCTGAGCGCTTGGCACCCAGCTATGGGAGCTGCACGTGTCTGTGCAGCCCGGCAGCTCCGGGATCTTCAGGGCCGGTGGGAGGGGGAGAGGTGCAGCCACCTCATTGGAAGATAGGTGTGATACGGGCTGTTTGCAGACACAGCTTCTCTTTACTTAGGGTTCCTTGGTGGGCGGCTGGGGCCCACCCCCTGTGCTCAGCACCCAGCACCGCTGCTCCCTGCACGGCTGTCCTGTCTCCTGCCATCCCTAGGAGGGTGCGCACACTGCAGATGCTCAGGACAGTCTGTGAGTGGCTGTAACAGAGTTAGAGGCCTTCCCTGTGGAGGGATGATGGAGGCACAGAGTGGGCTGGATCACCCGGGAGAAGCCGGTGGAGGAGAGGAGGCGGTGGCACCCTGTCTGGAGGCAGAGAGCTGCCACTGAGCGGCAGAAGCGGGTGCTCAGTGTGTCCACTGCTGCCCTGAGGCCAGACCGCCAGCACTGAAGTTGGGGTGTGCTGGGGACCTCAGAGAGAGCAGTTCTGAGGGCTCTGAGGCTGAGGTGGAAGTGCAGTGGGCTGGGGAGAGATGAGGGTGCAGTTAGGGCGGAGGGGAGAGAAACTAGCAGAGGGAGGAAAAAGCAGGGTCCAAGGCAGCCTATTGGAACAGCCCTGGGGAACCTGAGAGCAACTGCAGGCTAAGGACCCAAAGTCCTCGTGGGGACCATCAGGGCTGAGCCGGGAGGCTGCTTACTGTGGCTCGTATTGGTTCACTCGCCCAGCAGACATCACTGGAGCCCTCTCTGCGCCAGGCACCAGGATGCTACGGTCAACGGGACAGACAGGACCCTCCCTCCTGGCACATATTCTAGCATGACTTATCCTAATGAAACATTGGAAATACCCTATGTGTCCAGCAGTTGGGGATTGTTAGAGGCCGGATGGAGCAGTCATACAATGGGCCATCAGATGACGCGCTTATCCGTTTACTCTTTTGGAAAGATGCTTACGACCTATTGTTAAGCAAGGATAACAGCTACAACGACTGTAGGTAAAGTACAACCCCTTTTGGTAAAATATCTACATTTTTTATCTGTCTGTCTGCCCATCTCCATGGACAAAGGACCAGAAGGCTGTTTCCCCAGGAGTTAATGTGCTTATTATCTCTGGGTGGTGAGGATGTGAGGGTTTTTGAGAAATCCTTCTTGCTTCTTCCACTCCCCAAAGATGCTTGTGAAAATGGTAAACATTCCTGAACCCCGGAAGAAAGAGAAAGTGATTGTGGTATGTTTTAACTTTGCTTTTGTTTTCCGTAATTGATTTTTAAATCTACAATGTCCACATATTATTTTATAATGAGGAAAAAAAAAGAGAAACTGATTAAAAGAAATGTTCCCCTAAAGAGCACTGGAGTCTGGTGTACCTCTGGCCGGGAGGCAGGAGGGACAGAGGGGAGGGGAGAGCTCCTCAGGTGGATCAGGATAAAGGGCGGGAGGGAGCTCTCAGCCTGGGGTTGGCTCAGAGCCTCTCTGAGAGGGAGGCAGACATGTGGGCCGGGGCTTCTGGGAGTAAAGCACTGTGGGACCAGTGATGGGGACTCCAGAGGCCACACCCAGCGAGAGGAGGCAGCTGGACTTCCTCAGAAAGCCTTCGGACCGGGAGAGTTGAGGTCCCCGCTGGTGACTTCTGGGAGCCAGTCCCTGCTCTCAGGACCCTGGCAGACATGGATGAGGGGCAGAATTCAACCCTGGAGTTGAGGTGCACTTTCTCCTGCCTATCGCCTGGACTGGGGGGGCTTATAAACCAAGGGACAAGTGGTTCTATTCTTCCCAATGCTTGCAGTACTGCAGGGGGTAGGTTCCTGAGTCCCTGCTT